TATTCAATGTTTTGAATTGCGATTGTCATTTCATTTGAAATTGATTTCATTAACTCTTCTAAATGTTTACTTCCTTTGTGATCAAGATAAATATTCTCATTTTCCACTTTAGTTTTATTTTTGTCATTATCCATCAATATTTGTTTCATTGAACTGAAAGCGTTTATTCCGGAACATGGCCAGGTAACGTTGATCTTGCATTGCGGACACGCAAATTTATCATTCTCCTTTAATAAGAGATATTTGGAAATGTTAGTTAAACAACTTGTACACAAAATATGATCAGGATTACACGGTAAAATCTTCAGATTTCTCTCAATCAATTGAGTTTGACACACCAGGCATTTATACATATTTTGTACGCAGAGTACGAGACACAATTAACAAGAGTCGCTATCTTCAATACTAAAGATTGCTACCTAATCAAGAGTAGGATCAAAGTGAAGGTCTAAAATACCGTAAATTTTGATAGGCCGAAGATTAAAAATCTACATAGAAATTTCTATCAAATAGTATTTAGATAAGTTTTTACATAATTTTTTTCATTTTTATGTAGTGTATATTTTCATAAGTTTTTTTCTTATTTGGCTGTGAGTCACATTATTCTGGACAATGGTTTGGGGACTAATATTTTTACTACTTCTGTATTTGGTGACCTTCTTTCTCAATGCACGTACTGATCCTACCCTCCCATTCCAGCATACAGATTTGGTAGCAAGTCAGGATTTTTGTTTATAAGTTCGTAGGAGCATTTTTTAATTTTCTCCCATAGTTCATCTTCTGATGTGAATTGTGCCCCATCGTAAACCAAATTTTTGGTCAGGTGCCACACATTTTCTATTGGGCTAAGATCAGGGCTCTTAGCTGGCCAATCGATTGGATGTATGCCGTTCATCCTGGATGCCCTGCTGGTAACTCTTGCAGTATGTCACCCAGCATTATCCTGCTGGAAGATATAATCTCTCCCCATTTTATCTGAGATTTCTTCTATAACTGGGAGAACATCTTCGACCACAAATGTAGCATAGTTTTGGGCATTCAATCTTTTGCTTACTCTCCATACCTCAAACACACCATCCGAGGTTATCAGTCCCCAAACCATTACTCCACCTCTGCCCATATTTTTTGTTAATCTCATCTCTTTTTCCCTGTCATTTGTCCAGGTCCTGAAGTCGTCAGGACCACTCAATGAAAACCTTGCCTCATCCGTAAATATGACTCTTGACCAATCTAAGTTATCTCGAATAGTTTTTAAACAATACTGTTTCCTTCTTTTGCAGTCATTGCTTGTGAGATCAACTCTTTGTCGAATTCGTTTATAACGAAAATTTTGCAATTTCAACTCTCTCTGAATTGTCTTCAGGCCTACATCTACCTCTAATTCATTTAAAATCTTCCTAGCAGTTACCCTTTCCTTGTTTCTTTTAAGTCTCTTCATAATCCTATTCATTCTTGCTACATCTCTTTCTGTGAGTCTCTTTGGACGACCCCTATTCTCTTGTTTGGGTGGCTTATACCTTAAAATGTCGCTAACTATAGATGATGCCATTCCCAAAGCCCTTGCAGTTTCCCTTACTTTCCCCAATTCTTCATATTTCTGAATTACCAGGTTCCTAACCTCTTTTCCCCATGCCATAATGAAATAAATGATATAAAAATTAACTAAAGTAGGTAAAATAGATAATAAGTAATCAACTTAACTTTGAAAATTAATTTTGTTGAAAAAAATGTCAGTTTAAGACGTCTATTTAAACGCAAAACCAGATGTAATCCGGATGTACGGTTAATTTGGACTTACGGCCAAATAAAGAAAAAAACAATAAAAATTAATAAAAAAATTTTGCTAATAATTTTCACAAATATGATAATTTTCTATAATTTTTGTCAGTATTACATAAATATAACTCTTTCTTCATGGAAATTTAGACAAAAAAACCAATTGAAAACAAAGATAACATTCTTGGGGTGTTTTCAAAATTGACCTATCAAAATTTACAGTGTCCGGGTATTTTAGGCCTTGACTTTATTTGTTTTATTATTAAATGAACAATCTTGTCAACAAGGACAAATAACGAGTAACAGTTGTACATTAGCAAGAATTAATAAAAGATTATATAATATAATATTTGACACAAATTCTATTTATAGCAGCAGGATTAATTAAAGCAAGTAGAATATGTTTTTCTTCGCTTCGATAACCAAACACATAATAATTCTTAAAAGCTTTTTTCTGTGGAACAACAATAACGTTATCTATTTTTGAAGATATAATATATATATTATGTTTGTCGAAGAGAAGATCGTATCCTTCCTTTAATTTAGAAATGACAATAGCTAATCCCTCGTCATCTTTTTTATATTCTAGGCTTAATTTTTTTGGAAATATTTCATTTGGCGATAATTTTGAGATTGATCCATGTTCATTTAACCAGATTACTGTATTTTTAAAGTTTTTCATATCAATTACTCTATTTTTGAGAGAATACTTATATAAACCGTGTTGAAATCCACTATAGATTATTCCTTCGGATAAGAAAAAAGGTCCAGAATCAAGAGAAATACTAGATTCTGTAACGCAACCTACAAAGCAAAGTATATAGTTATTGATATCTATATTGATAATTTCTCCACCTACCATTAGTAGTCCAAATTGTTGACGAATTATTGGAATTGTTCATTTCACATTTCGTGAGAAAATTAAAATCGTTCAAGAAACAAATATCATCTATTGAATGAAGGCCACTTATATCATTTAAATTCTCCTTTGACTCATAATTTATACAGTATTTTCTCTCATGTAAAATTGTATTTCTAGTTTTCATCTTTGTTTCAAAAAATCTGTTTTGTAAATAGGAATATTCCGTTTTATTTTTATGTAAGAAACCATAAAAAATGTATATTCCAGTAGGAAAAGATCGTATTTTAATAATTGGGGCATCAAGTTTCAAAATAACTTCTTTTTGCAGTGTAAAAGGTTTATAGTTATCGTATGAATAGCCATTTTTTAATTCACATGTCTCATCTTGCTTTATAGGAAAAGTTTTCTTGAATTGTGTCATTTTTGCGTAGATACGTAAAATTTTTGAAACAGCCTACCGTAATTTCACCTTAATCTCTGCGAAAATACCTAATATGAATGAATTCGTTGTGTAGTCTATTGATTTTTTAACTGCTAATATTAAACACATTTACGAATAATAGATAACAAAATTGAAGATAACTGATAAGGTTAAGTATTAAAATTGATTGAATATTCAAAAACTAGTAGCTTGTTTAGAAAGAGGAAACTAACTTAAACATTGAAAATTATTTACTAATTCAAATAAATTCTATCGTTGTTTGTAAACTAGTTTGTATATATTTGTAAACAATTATTAATCTACTGGATAACATTTAACAACGCAATCAAAACAATTATTTACTTTTCTAACAAAACAAAGATGAAAGATTGATTCTGTCATTAAAAAATCAGTTAATCTACCTTCTGAAGGAAAGTTCTCTTGTGAAAAAACTCTTGTATATCTCATATTTGGACTAATAAGATAAATTAATTCTTTTGTTGTTAACATTCGAAATCCTCTTTTTAAATCTCTAAGTAGACTTTTAATTGTAAAAAGTTTTTCAACACCTCGGAATAGAATAGGACTTCCGTGAAATGTTTCTTTTTCATTCAACTTTGAAATTGGACAAAATTCAACTTTAAATCTATTTAAAACAACAATTAATAAGCCATTAGACGTTGTTTTAAAACAGAGTGGGCGTTCTTTGAAAAAACATTCTTTTATTTTTAATATACAGTCGCTAGTATCGTATAATATTAAGTCAACTCCTTTAATAAAGCAGACTGTTCTCTCTCCGAAAGATTTATCCTTATCGATCAGTGGAGCGTAAAATTCAATTTCAACAATCGAATCATCCATATCATTCCACTTAAAAGGACAGTATTGATTAAACTCACATCTTAAAGCGTAAAGATTTTTCGTACTTGAATTAGCCACTTCCGAAATATGACAATCATTAGGATATTCAATTATTTTCTCTGGTCTAATTTTCAATATTGACGAAGATGTGATTATAAAGAACCATTTCTTCCCACGAATAATTGTTGGTGAATAGTTAACCTGTTTAGAATAAGTGCTTATTGGCTCTAACGTATTTGATAAGTTAATCTCTGCAAAATTCACATTCTGACAATTTACTTTTAATGAACAAGAGGTTTTTGTGATTTGTTCCAATCTCATAGATAGCATTTTTCTTAATCCTGTTAAATCTATTCCATTTGTTGAAGCTGTAGATTCTAAAACAGAATCCAATTCCTTCTCTAAAGTTAACAATTCCATTGCTTTCTCTTGATGATAATTCTGCAATTTGAATCCTAATTTTGTCCTTTGTTTATCAATTTGAAGATGCAATTGTTTGGCGGCGGAATCTAAAATTTTTAATTCGTCTTCTTCATCCTTTATCGTCCTTACTCTTTCGTGAGCTAATTCTCTCCTAAATAATTTAAAAAATAGATCTTTTACAGATACCTTCTCAAAAGCATCGGCTCCTCTTGACGACCATAAAATTTCAGTACGGCAGAGGGGACAAAGAAATTTGCTCTCATTTTCTAAGGCTGCTTCCCCCAGCTTTACAAGGCAATCAGTACACAAAATATGGTGTAGACTACAAGGCAGTTGTCGTGGTACTAAACCATCCAAAAACTCATTGAAACATATCGGGCAATCGGTGGTACAATCATCCATCCCTCACCCTATATTTGATAGTAATCTATTTAAGTATCGCTGAGTAGTATTTATATGAGAATATATTTAAAGATGAATCATTCCTTTTTGCAGGCACGACGCATATATGCAAAATCGTCTATTAGCCTTTCAACAAGGCTTTAATAATTTTTTTTTCTATAAAGCCTATTGGCAACTATATAATGAAAAGTTGTCCATTCAGGTTCAATACTACAATCTATACTGTATATATAATGTTGTATAGTAAGTATGAAATATAGAAACATCATAATTCAATCATTCTTAAATTATCACTTCCGTTCTATATTTCAGACAAAGGTAACATAGCCATAAAGTGTTTATTAACCTTTTGGCCATTGGCATGAAAATCATAGTTTTTTTTTTATTCTGACCTTAAAAATTGATACGTTAGAAGTGTTTGTTAACGTTTACTTATCAATTATTAATTAATAACTTCGATAGAAAAGTATTGTAAGTATCGCAATGAAAAGAAATGGAAACAATTGAAATTTCTAGCATTGTTTTCCATTTGAAAAGAGAAGGGGAAAAAGTGAAAAACGAAACGTATCTTTGATTCATTAGTTTGCCATTATAAACCACTTTATGTTGACTAAGTTGAATTCATTGTTTTGTATTGTTTAATTAGTAATTCATCTCAAAACACTCTCTACTCCTACGCCAATTGATTATTAGACATTTCCTCTGAATCTAGTAGTTTGGGTAGTTACAAAGAATTTATAGACAATGATCTTCATCAATTTTTTAAATAAAGTTACAGATGGAAGCCATTTTAATTGTCATATGAAGAATAGATTAAATCAATAGGCTGGAAAGTATATATATATGGTAGTGTGAGATATTCTATCTCATCAAATAAATTTGGTGGACGACCTGTTGCTGCAAAATGTCAATAGAAAAGATATATGCTATAATTATTTATGTACATCTTTTAGTAAAGTTTACGGATTCAACTGTATTCAAGTCTTGCTCTGAAGCAATTGTTACTAATCAAGCAAATGGTTTTTACGATATTCAACCAATCGAATATGGTTCTATAACAAACATATACTGCCAAGTTGTGAATGATATACATATTGAATCAACTTTGGGTAATAATTTCGAAGAGAATACTACAATTAATGGTTATGAATTCCAGTATAGTTATAAGAGGACTATTATGTATGGAAATTTTAATGAAACGCAGATGGATGAGTATTTGAGAACGGCGGGAACTTGTTCTCAGACTATGTACTTTTACAACTATTTTTCTCATTTGTCATTTACTCACTTTATTTTTTGGGATGGACTCATAGTTAATTATAATGACGCTCCTGATGGAATTTGTAAATGTTTCTTAAGACAAGTTTGCGACGAAGACGCTTCCAATGAGCTAACTTGTAGAGATGCGGGAAACGAAACTCACAGTCCATCGTTTAACCATACTGGAAAATTTTCAGTTTTACCTCAAAGATTGCCTTTAAAAAAAATAGAGGCTGGCGACACTGGTACAGACCCTACAGGACATGACGAGATCATTCACTTTGCAGTTGGAAAATTAAAATGTTCCAAGAGGCTTACAGCTAAATTAACCGTTAATCATTTCCATCAATGCGAAAATGAAAAACTTCATGTTTTATTGGACGAATCTGTATCGACGTGTATGAAATTTAAAGCATCAGATTTTTATTTAAATATTCAAACTGAGGTAAATCATCGAAAATTTAAGATATTAGGAAGTAATTCTCAATGCTTAAAATTTGGTATGGTATCTAAAGATGAAAATGATAGGACAAGACAATGTACAACTATAGATAACTGCGTATACAATTGTTTAGCCTCACCAATAAAACAATATTTCTTATACTCGTTAGACTTAATAGGAGACGTTGAAATTTGTGAAATAGTATTACTTCCTTTTTAAATGAACTATTATATATATTACTAACTTGTTATAATTTCTTTTCTTAATATATATAATGATAATAATGTTTATTAGCCGTTTCACTATATTCAACCTCTTTTTGCGGTGATCTCTTTGAAAAGTTTCTCTTTAAACTCTTCAATGTATCCTCCATATACAATCTTTCATTAAAAGTTTTCATTACAAATAGATTATGGGTATTTTTGCCGTCGAATAAATGAATTAATGGCTTTCCATAATCGGGAAGTTTTGGTTTTTCTGTTTGCTCTTTGATAACATTCTTTAAACGTTTTATTTCGTCTTTCAAAACTCTTATTGCGTCTTCTTGATTATCTGAATCAGTTTCGGTAGATTTATTCTCCGATTTCGAATTAGACGAATAAGTTGCAAACGTTTCGCAAGCTATAGCTTTTTCCCTTATAATTGCGTAAAAAGTTGACAAACCAAATTGAATTTCAATATTAATAGGCTCAAGTACATTTATGGCTTTGCGTCGTTCTTCGCTATGAAAGAATTTTGCAGCATTTTCAGATAATGTCGCCGCAATCCATTTAAGAATTTCATCCTTTTCAGTTTCGTTTTTATTAAATTTATAAATAGGCAATATTGAAATATTCTCATGTCCGCACTTTTTAATGTGACGTCCTATAGCAGTTACTGGCGATTTCGATTTTGAATCTAAAATTAATTCTTTCAATAGTTCTCTAATTGATCTATCGGTATAACTAGCAATTTTGTTTATACACTTTTTACAAATATAAACGAAAGCTATATTAACGGTACTACACAGTAGAGTTTGTTTTATGTGAACGTAACCTATTGAATCGTAAATAGGCCATTTATCAGTTTCAATAAGAAGAGAACAATATTCGCAAGTTGATTCCATACACTTTATCGAAGGCATTTTCCTGTAAAAAAGAAAAAAGAGAGAAATCCTTTAGATGGAACTATTTTATGAATTTTCTCTTTAGCATGACATATTTAAGTAGATTATCTCTGTTTAATATATTTTTATAAGATTCAATAATGCAAATATTCCCTTATTATATAATTATATAATTGAATTTATGAAATATATCCATTCAAATGCAACCCTCCCACTTTTCAAAAATTCATAAGTATTTAAAATTTTAACAAAGCCAATAAGTTAATTATATTTATTATTCAACTCTTTAAAAACGTCTCTCTCTTCTCTCCTTAAAGAAAGATATTCCTAATTCATTCCTTAGAATTCCCCCTCTCTTGCTCTTGTAAATTTTCCATTTTTCATAATTCTTTAATTTTATCTTTAATTCATTTTCAATCATTTCAAATCATGCTTTTTATAATATTAGTACGAAGATTAGTCTTATTAATATCATTATTAATTTACTTCCTCGTTTCGTTTGATTTTGCTACGTCATTAGTACTTACTTCATACTGACATGAACACATGAACAATCTCTTACTTCCTTTGAAAAAAACGTAATTAACATTTATTTTCTCTCTTCTTTCATATCAAAAGCAAATTACTATAGAATGTTAAGAACACAATAATGCAATCAACCTTCAAGTTTTGTAGTTTAAAGAACATATAAAAATACATTTTTTTTCTCACAAAACACCACAATTATCTATTTTTAACTAATTGATTGATTGATTTTTATAGGCTTTATTTATTTACTTACAAGCTATATTAATAAATTCTTGGTGAAAAAGCAAACGGTAAATATGTAATTTAGGAATATCTTTTTGCTGCTATTGATAGATGTAGACTATTAGAATTAACCTGAGTACTGGAATTACAATATTGAGTAGTTGTAATCAATTGGAACTACTCTCTTTCGAAAGTTAAATTGCTTGAGTCGAATGGATAATACAGTATACTTTCTATAGATAATACTTTAGAACACTTTTCAATAGTAAATTATCTTATGAATAAAATCTTTTTCTTTATTTGTTTCTTAAATAGTAAATTCATCAAATATATAAATTTCTTTCACAATATCACTTAAGCTTAAATTGATGATCTTTAAACCTAAGGAACAATTTTGGCAAATATAATATAAAGTATAAGTATTAGTATTTATAGAATTATCATAAGAAAATAGATGGCACAATTTTCCTCTTCCGTTGTTAACTAACGAAATAACGTACAAAGTTTTTATCATTTTCACTGAGGCAACGAGTTGAAGAACAATATTATTTCTGTTTCCATAATTTATTCCTGAAATGAGAGAATCTTGATCCATACTACTTTTGCAAGATGCTTTTGCTAGTTGAAAATAATTCAACACTTAATACAATTCATTTAATACTATAGATAATCTATATTGTATTATCTTACTATGTCTGTAATACAGCGTATCTGATAAGAGATCTATTTCGCTAAATTTTTCTCCAAATCTTGATGTTATTCTGATTTTCTTGGTAAAAGTTTTATTGAATTTTTCGCATATAGTCTCCTCAAATAAGAAATTCCCATTGAATATAACAATTAGTGTTTGATTATTATGAAATTTATTTATTTCAGATAAAATTCCATTGAAATCGCCAAGATTTGAATGGAAAACTGAAAACGAACAGCTGTTTTGTTGTAAATTATCAAAATTTACTTGGGTTTTTAATCTACCTGTTAAACATATTTGATTAATATATATTAAAGATGTAGATATAAGAATAAAATCATCAATGTTCAATTGAATATTATCCGTAATACCGTCCACAAACGGATTATTGTCGATGAGAAGACTGCTGTTACCACTATTCGTAATATTTATGGATTGTATTCTATGGTTAAAATGACTAGTGAAGTCTACAAAGTAATACATAAGATGTTATTGATTTAAATCTAAATAGGTTACTTGTTTTATCAGATCTTTGATCAATATATCCGTAAATATTTATATATGAAATGGTAAGATAGTATTTTATTCTATTTAAAGGAGGATGATTAATCGATATTAGCAGATACTTTCCAATCGCTTCCGGTGAACATACAAAAACAAAATTTCTTAATCCAACTGCAAGAATGTTATTATAGTTTTCAACACAAAATTCCCTATTCTCCTTAAAAATAGTTTGAGGATCGTTGTTTAAAGAAATATAGATGTTGAGAAATTCAAGCGTAACATCTAAGCATCAAAGTAAACTTATAAACTAGTAAAATAATAGAAACTTTAATTACTAATAACCAGCTAATTTAGTAGCTAAGACAAGTCCATGACAAACAATTTCATCTGTAAAATCTAATCTTATAAAAGGATTTTTTGGGTGTGATGGTAAAAGTCTTGTTTTAATAAAAGTTGCAATATTCATATCGAATAATTTTTCCATTTCCGATTTAGCAACATTTCCGGCAAAAATATTATTAATTTTTGAATTTAAATGAATTATTTCTATTGCAAAGATACAATTTTAAGATAATAATTATTAATTTGATTATGTAATCTTATAAATACTCGATTCTTTTACGAATTCACCAACAACGATAATATCGCAAATGGTTAGATATTGTTTAGCTTGAAATTCTACTATAATAAATGAACCAGTAGTATTTTGTGGACATTCGTATTTTTGATATTGATCGATATTCGTTGAATTTGGTTTTTTAACAGTTCCCGTTTCGTAGAAACAAAGACTTCCAATTGAAGTTTGATGAATGAAATATTTTACCAAAATTTTAAAATTAGCCAATCTGAAATCTTAAAAGAAACAATTAAAATAATATTTATGAATATTTAAGCTTACCAAATGAGTTTCGATTCAAGAGGTAGACTTCTTGAATATTATATATTGCAGCTAAATCTGTGGCCCACCAAGCGTTTTGATCATTTAAAGTATGACTGCAAGTTGCAGCGTTAGAGCCTATAATATCATCATTAGCCCTGCTAGCATCGAAAAATTGGTATCTAGAACTTTGATAAGATAGAGTATTTCTAGCAATGCTTTTAATTTGTAGACTGTCTTTCGTCTGTAAAACTGCAAAAGGTATTTATTTAAGTGTTGATAATGGAATGTTTATACTAACTTAAAACGTATAAGAATATCCAATGAATATATTTCAGTTTCATCTTCATAACAAGCAGAATAATAAAGGTTGATTCAATTTTTAGAATGCAAATAAGATAGAAAGGAACAGAGCAGTCGTTCACGATTCTTTAAATCTTTTTTTGTATTCAATAGAAACAAAAGAATCTCTGCTGTTCAATATAAAAATCGCAAAGGATTAAGATTTAACGACATATTTAATATAAAATTAAGTATTCGATAAAAGAATAGATAGTTAATTTATATAATGAAAGTCTTTTTTATTTTCAGGTAGATTTCCAAGAATTCTTAATTTCATAATTTATTTTCAATGAGAGCTTTCGAGTTGTTTGATTCTATTAAAAGGTTTTGCAATAAATGATTCGAGCAAAGTACTTATTAACTAAAATCGGCAGGCAATGATTTTAAAATTTACTTATTAAACTTATAGTATATTTTCTAATTTATAAGGTAGACTGCTAAACTTATAGGTGGCGCTGTGAGAATTTATTGCGTTTTGCCTCCGAAAACGTCCCCATGTATATTTGTGGAAAGTAATGAAAACTGGTAAGAGTAGCAGGTATCTTTTACATTAGTCACGTTTTTCCGACTGTTGATTACGAAATGACAACGGAGTTCCTTTACTAAAACAAAAGGGTATATTTACAAAATTATTATCTTAAGTAAGTAAAAGAACAAATTAAATAAATTTTTGACATTATTGAAAACATTAAAAATATTTTGATATATTTATTAAAGAAAAGTTATGGAGGATAAACCTAAAGCGGATCCAGAAGTAGGGCCCCGCAGTGGAGCTGCTACTGAACAGATAAATCATGGAAAAACAAGTTATTTTGGTCATTTGAAAAAGTCAGTTTTTGACGATATACAAAAAATTGAACAGAAGAAGCAAACTGAAATGAAGAAGGTTAGCACTCAAGCTTGGGATATGGTTATGCAAATTAAAAATAAGGAAGCCCGCTTGCTTAATGAATTGAAGAGTTTTTATGGACAACAGCAAAATGAGCTTAAGAACGTTTTGGATTATTATTCCCTATTACAAAGAGCACCTGATTTTACGACGAGTTCCGCTTCTGGTATATTAGACGATCAAATTGAAGGAATAAAGAGCAAACTGCAAAAGATACAGAGGGACGTCATTAAACCGGAAGTTGTTTACAATTCAGCAGGAATTGTAGAAAATTTTGTCCTTGGTGAGTTGAGTTACACAAATAATAGGGTCGAACATCAACGAGAGAAAAGAATTTCGGTAAATGGAATAATTACAAGAGTTCGTTCTTTTTCGAATAAAATGTACGCAATTCTAAAAACACCAAATGACGTTACATTCATTAATGTGGAAAATTTCAACGAACAATATATATTCAACTTGGATTATCGAAAATATAAATCTTCATGCAAGGATGAAGAAGAAGCCAGAAAGCTAACAGTAGCCCACGATCTAAACTATAAATTTCAATCGGAAAATTACGATATATGTCGAGGTCCTGACGGAAGTCTCTATCTCTTGGTCGAATTCGAGAGTATTACTAAAGCAAGGATATTAAAAGCTGCTCCAAATCTCACTGCTATAGAGGAAAATGAAAATCTAACAATTACTCGGGGAACTAAACCCGTCAATAAAAATGAAATCCAACAAATGTTCTTCTCAGTTAGGGATCATCTCCTAACTTACGATTGTACTACAAATAATTTTATAGCCTATAGCGGAGATAAAATGATAATTGACACAAAATATTACGATGACGCTCTATATTTATTAGAAGCAGATATGAAAATTCACAAATTAACCAGCAACAGAAGTATTATAGTTAATTCAACATTTCAGTGCAAGAATTCAATCAATTACGCAACTTGTTTAAAAAGTTTAGTTATAAATTTAGTAAATAATGGTATTCTACTATTCGATGCAAATTTTATATATGCAATCAATACTAAATTTGAAACAGCAGTAATTTACCAACAAAAGGATATAATAGAAGGACAAATACTTGGTTATACAAAGAACAATGGTACTATCGTCTTTGCAGTTAAGAGTCAAAATGGAAAAGAGATTCTATTGAAATATTTTTGAATATATTTTACATTTATGAGAAGAGAAATAATTGACTTTTGTATGCTACATATAGATGTTTGTAAATATTGGAAAAGTTTGATTCTATTATATATACAACAGATAAAATATACTTATTTGTTTGTAGAAAGAATGACTATTTTCATAGTTGTATAGCTTTAAACATGCAAAATTGATGAAGAATTTGTGGAATTTATCTTGGCTCTGTGGCTTAGTTGGTTAAAGCGCCTGTCTAGTAAACAGGAGATCGAGGGTTCGAATCCCTCCAGAGCCTTTTTGTTCCAGTATGCTCTTATATTTGCTACTTTTTTTTATGCATTTTCAATTATCACCAAATTCCTTCACGAATATGCAGAATATTCCAATCTGGGCAACTTTAGCCTAGTCTGTAAAGATAACTATATAAAATTGAGATTGTTAATTTTATCTTTTTCATTCACCACGTCTAGTTTGTATTTGGAGTATCTTCCTTAGAAAACAACCTAAACTTAATATATCACTTGCGTAGTTATCATTGAATGTTAAAACAAAACGATCGTATAGAAAAATCTTGAATTTATCTTCCTTTATCTTAAAGGAAAAACACAAAGTACTACTTTAGTATTAATAGTAATACTGTAAAACAGTATATACATTATAGAGAATATTCTTATCAGAAAATTTTCCATTCATACAAACGCTTAGTTCATGAATTATTTGAAAAGCTTGAAAGATTACTTTCATTATTCTAAAAGTTATCTTTAACTTTAAGAAACTTTTATCAAATTTTATTAATTGATAACTCTTATCTTCAAAATGCTTTCTCGAACAAAAACTATCTTTTGACATAAAAAATTGAAATACTGAAAAAAAAAGAAATTAATTATTAATTAATTTGTTTTTTTAAAGAAACAAAAATAATGATATAAAAAAAACTATTAACGATTATTCTTATTAAGTTGAGAATAATTCTTCATCATATGTAATCTATACATAGAAAACAAAGATAATTAAAAACTCTACTACAGATTATAGATTTAAAGTTTTACTGTTCAACTTCAGATTTAATCTTTCGCCGTTTTAGTAGGAGTAAGATTTCACCAATCGAATAAATATAAGGATTTAACGATGAATTTAAAGGTAAAAGAATGATAATTATCCATACGTGTATCTTTTCAGAAATATTGGATATATTAAAAGTAGCCATTAGATTCAAAAGTGAAATTGGGAACCAGCATAACGTATTAGTTATAACGATTAATAAACTAAATGATAACATTTTGCGTTTACGTTTCTTATAGTGGTATTGACTTATTAGCTTTTTAGAGCCAAGTACTATTTTCACAATAGAAGTATATAGAAAGATTATAGATATACGTATCAACATCATAAAACAACTAAAGACGATAAAAGAATATTGCCATCCTCTATGTTTCTTTCGGGTTAGATGCAGTGTAAAACAAACTGTAGATATTGAATAGTATTTCTATAAAATAGATATTAAGACTCATAGAAGAAATGGCAAAATGGAATTTCTTATATCAAACTTTATTAAAAAGAAAGGGAATAGTTGAAAGGATAAAGCCTAATACGATTATCCCCATAAGTACAGCTATTGCAGTAGTCTTCTCAATATAATGTTTTTTAAAAGGACTCTTAAAAGCAATATATCTATCAATGGTAATTACCAGAATGAATAGAGTTGATGATAAGATTGCAAAATTGTTAAAAACTCCAATAGTTTTACATAAAATACTATTCCGCCATGCCATATCATTTTGGATATATTTCCCAAAGTAGTATTGATCAATAATACCAATAATTGTCAAATAAATGGCTGAAATTATATCCGAAACATTCAATCCAATATGCCAGATGTATATTATTGATTTAAAACATTTTATTTTGGCTACTAAACTAAAAATATTCCCAATTAGGCAAAATACAATTATAATCCAAGTTATAATCCTTAGAAATAATGATCCTATAAGATGTTTACAAGATTTTAGTACTGTCTCTTTTGGTTGACATTTTTGAAGATTAAAACTAAATCTTTTAACCAAACAACAAAATTGATAATATTCACTTTTAAGATATTGTAATTTCGGTAGAAAATATATAAAATCACTGAAATAATCTTCCGGAAGATGAGTTTTATTCATAAACAATACTTTCAAGTTTAGAAAGTATTTAAAAGATTCTTTTTCAATGTTGTACAAGTTACTTTTAACTATTATTAACATGGTTAACTTTTCAAGTCCTTTTAATTTATTACTAGTTATAAATCGAATATTTGAATTAGATAAATCAAGATGTAATAAGTTAGGAGTAATTTTAAAAAAGTAATCTTCAATTTCTTGTATTCTATTGTCTTTTAAATCCAAATATTGCAGTTTATATAAAATGATATTTAATGAATTATTTAATTTATTAATTAAATTATTTTGTAGGTCTAATATAGCTAGATTTGGATAATTTCTAATCAGAAAATGCGTTATTCGTCCAAACGAAATGTTTAAATAGACGATATAGGCGGAATTTTGTAGATAATGATAAATACTATCATTTGGTAATATTAGTTGAACTGTTCTAGCGGATTCATATATTAAATCGACTATTGATGATTGATTACAAATCATTCCAAAAGATTGATTGCATGTACAGTTTCTAGGGCAATTTTTATTTAACATACAATAGTATTCGTCATTGCCGTGTAGACATTCCAGTTTTCTATTGCAGACTTGATAAAAGTTTAGATAACGATTTTGTAAACGACATTTAAAATATCCTTTTGGTGCAAAATGATCTAAACATTAAAAATTAAAATTAAAATGTTATGTAATTTGACCCTAGTTCACTTAAAAATGGCCAGTCGATTTGCAGTTAGGGAGGATAAGTTTTGCTTATGGTTTAGGTAATCAATGCTTTCTTTTCATTTCTTACAATATCCTCTTAAACAGCAAATAGTGACCTTTTTTTCATATGAACCAGTATAAAATCTTCTCAAGGTGATGAAACTTACGGCAATCAATTTCATCATCTAGATATAGACAATGACTTAAACCGTCGCATACTTGATTGATTGATATACAATAGTTCACTTTTTGACATTTATATTCTCCTTGTTGACACTTTTTACTTGTACGACAAAATTGCAAATTGTAGAAAGGAAAATGAATTTCAATTAGCATATTTTCCATAGAATCGTAAATTAGATGACAAAGAGTATCTTTTAAAGATATATGCCAAAATGATCTTGTTCTATTCATCTTTGAGTTGAATTCTTTAAAGCACGACAAAGATTTATGAGAGGAGAGAATATCTTCACAATCCGTTTTCATATCGCATTGATTAATTATAGGTACACATCTATTACCGCATTGAAATTTCTTTTCGGTACAGGCTTAGTTTTGATTTGATTTCATTTAATAGTAGTGAATAGTATTAACAAGTTCTATACATACGAGGACTACAGTTTTCATCACTGCTATCAACGCAATGTCTCTGATTATCGCATAAATCTTCCGGATATATACATTGTCCATTATCGCATCTGATAAATTATAAACTTTATTAAATGAGTCCTTAATAACTTGCGTTAATCTTACTTTGTCGACTGACATAGAAAGGCTGGTTTTATTATATTTCTTGAATTAATAGGCTAATTACGAGAATTTAACAAACATATAACTTACAACAGTTTGCTTCGTCACTCCCATCCTTACAGTCACCTATAATATCGCATACTAATCTTACATTAATTAATTCACCCGATGTACACTTGAAATGATAAATTGATGTACAATTAACTTCATCCTCCCAATATAAACAATCCGAATAACCATCACAAACGTAATTGGAACTAATGCAAAATCTTCCATATCTACATTCAAAAGTTCCTATTGGACAGCCGGAAAAGTTTGTTAAACTTAGATATTGCGTAATGTTATCAACGGTTTGATTATTAAAAATATCTATTTAACGATTGTGATATATATTATATAAGTATTTCTATATATTGATTTATTATAGTGAATTAATTACGGAGATTCCCTTCGCAAATGACTGAGGTAATTAGAGGGAAATTGCACGGGATTGCCTTAATATCATACTTGGAGGGGTATGCGCAAGAACTATTAATCACCCAACTGAGAAAATGTTTTCGAGCATTTTTCAATTGAATAGACCAATCTTCTCTAAAGATTCGAAAATTTGAAGAATTGTTACAAAAACTAAATACAGTTTTACCCGTTTTGTAAGTACCAAATTCCAATTAGATCGAATGGAATATTTTGACCAGTAGTTGATATTTTTCTATTAAAACTCGATATATCTTTCAATGAGCAATCTGATGCAATTTTCTCTTTAAATGTTAATTATTTAATGAAATTTAGATAACGTTTACACATACTTTTCGATATTTTCGATAAAGAATTTAGACATTTTATAAAGAATATCTAAAATTTGAAATATTCTACATAAATGATTAAATTTGGAAGAGAAAATTAATATTCAACTCTTTTGAAAGGATGAAGGAAAATTTTTTGATTTAATTGACAATTTTCGAAAGAAGAGAACTTTGAACATTCTATTTCAAAAAGTTCAACTTTTTGAGGATACTTCCTTGAACGTAGTTTTATCAATGTACTCTCTCTATATCCAAAATGATTACAAACAATCTAATTAACGGAAAGCTTTTAAATATTATTCCATAATTAAATTACAAACTAACGTTTGTTTGAAATTTTAGATTACTATTTAAGAAAAAGATATACCAGACTCCTTCGAAAAAACCATGAATTTCTCCTTCAATATAAACAGGTTTCTCTGTACTGTTTGCATAAACTACCTTCAACTGTTCATTAGTATTTAATGATACTAATTTGAATAAAAAATCTGCAAGTAAACAAACGTTACCTTATATTAAAATGATATTAGATGTCTACCAGATACTTGATATCTTTTACAACGTACAGAAGATATTATTAAATAATTGACTTTTGTAGAAATTCTATATTGACATTGTTCTATTCTAGAAAATTTTTCAGGACAGAAGAAAACAACGCTACGGCTTTCTTTATAATTTGTTAAATGGATTAAACTGTCTCCTCGACTAGAGATATTAACGTCATTTCCCGATTTTAAATGAAATTTTTTACAAATAACTTTATTAATCATTGACATAGTAATTTCGTTAGAAAATTTTACAGATCTGGGTCCAATATAATCAATATCTACCACCGGAAATATAATCTCTTTATCCACTTCTATAGATGCGTGCGAATAGTTGAAGAAATCTTTAAACCTTACTATTTTAAAGTCTATAGATAATGAGTTATTTATTAAGATTATTCAAAAGAATACCATTAGATTCATCATACCTTTGAGAGATTGATTATCAGAACAGTATTCAGGAATACAATTTCCTTTTGTAAATTGTTTCACAGATGTCCAATTTTTTAAATATTTCGTTGAATTTGTAAAATCAATTTTAATTACTGTACTACATTCAATAGGTTGACCATTAAAACAATGTAAATACACTTTTCCATAGTGACGTCTAAAAATTGGTAACTGCTCATTGTCTATAGTAAATGCGTCTGAATATTGTATGGTAAACTATTGTTAATCTAATAAAGAAGTTTTGAGATAATATACATTGCATTTCCCAAGAGAGACAGCTAACACATAAAGCATTGGATAGTTTTCCTTTATTTTGGCTACAATACTTTTCTGTTCTATAAAAAAAACATATAATTATTATATTAGAATACTATATTAAGATAAAAACAACAATAAACAATTTCCTCCGTCAGTTTCATTGTTATGGCAATGAATTTCAACTTCTTTTTCAGCTAGGTAATAAAAATAAATATGATATGTAAAAGTGTTGATTCAAGGGTGTATAATACATTTAACAAAAGTGAACTTATTTTTACAGAGGTCAGTTTTATAGAAATACGCTCATTTGTCAGATCAGAAGCCTAAAGCTATTTCAAGTAAAGTGCTCATCATCTTTGTAAATGTTACTGAGAGACAGTCTCCCGAAGCAAATAGCCTGCGTCATGAGTGGAAGTAACATATTTTTCTCATTCAAAATTAGTAAGTTATGTAAAAGCAGTTCAGTTTCTTCTGTATTCCTTTACAATATCTTGCCTCTTCTTTACATCTTCTCTTTTCCGGTACATCCTATTTTCAGTTTACAAGCATCTACAATTTATCCTCTATACAGCTTGTAGCAACTCTTTCCTAGAGCATGTGAAGAAGCTTTTAGCATAATTCAAAAGATGAGTTCCTTCAAGCTTTGAAATATCCAATTCTATGTCAAAGTTTCTATTGCAGTGGGTTAAATAACTGACATTGGGTAATAGTTATGCATTTAAAACTATCTGTAAATCTTGTCTTTTGTCAAATAAGATTTCATTCTTACTGAAATTTGTATTTCTATTGATAACTCCAATAGTAATTTTCCTTTTGAATCCACCTTCAATAGAACACATTTCTATTAAGTGAATTGTGTATAAAACGTATTTTTCCTTTAAAACGAACCTCTATAAAACACACTCCTGTCAAACGAACTATACCCCCTTTCCCTACTCCTATATAAATAGAGTTACTTTTATACGAAGGACAGTTATAAACACTCTGATAGAATGTATCAAAACCATTCATTTTGCAAAAATATTCCCCAAAAATATACATAGATCTACGATGTTCCTTTGTAGAATTAAAGGAAATTGTATATAAATTTTCTTTTATTTCAGCAAGAACAATTCCTTGGGTAATCATACCAATAAGATTATCCTTTAAAGATTTGATTAAAGAAAAAGATATATTTTTAACTTGAATAGGTTTAAATTGTAAACATTTTCCATTAATTAACATAGAATATAACAAAGTAACAGCTGGAAAAACAATCCAAAACCTATTTAGCAGCATTTTCTTCAAAATATTGGCTGTTTTTCAACATTTATGCTTCATTCATTTTAATAATAATAAAGTAATTACAATTGAAATTTTATATTTCAATAAGCGTATTATTATACTTAGTAAATATTATATTTCAACTACAAAACATTAAAATCTCTCTTCGTCTATTCAACATTTCCGTGTCTCCCTATTCTACATTGTTGAACTATAATCTTTAGAATAGTAATTATCATACAACATACTATTTATCTATGTCATTTATTCATGTATATAATTCAAATATTAATATATATCTATTTAGTTATTGTTTCTTATTTTATTACTCGAACAATTTTATCGAAGTTATTTTTTAGCCTATACCCTCCTACACTCTGTACAAAAATAGATTTAAGCGACAAAATTTTTCGTACATTGCTTTTAGTTAGGCAATTGAAAGGTTGAAGAGTAATTTTTTATTATTATTATTATTATTAGTTTGATAATAAAAAAACGTGGTTAATTGTGTAATAATCTATTTTTAGAAATAAAAATATCTATGGTTTTGATGACAAGTTAGAGACAGAGAGAGAGAGAGAGATAGAGAGAAAAGAAAGAATGACTTTGAAAAGTTGTTTTCTATATAAAAAGTCTATTCTTTACTAACAATATAAGGGGAATTTCTGTTAAAATACATCGAGAATGATGACTCATTTAGTTATTAGACCTTAATTCTTTGTACTCTATATTTCTTATGTAATAGGTCAACTCGTTGGACTTGCAGGTATCGAATTGCGTGTGTAGATCATATTCACTACTACTATAACTAGTATACGCTATTATTTAGGTGTTTTACTAATCCCGTATCAATCGATTTTTTGCTGTCACTTTGCAATACTTAGAATAGTTTATTCATGATTTATTTTATTCATTCTAGCCGAATAGAGTGGTTATCGTGAGAAATAAAACATTTATATCGTTAGAAGATCTCTTCGTTCTACAATTACGAATGGAATGCCCGGTTTGTTTAACCAGTTTACAGAATTTAGTTGGTAGACGTCTACCCTGCCATACAACACATATATTTTGTTCAAAATGTCTCAGAGAAATTGCTAAATTTACAAAGTCAACGATTAAAAATCAGTTCAGCTGTCCTTTGTGTAAAGCTATTATTTGTTTGGGAAGAAGAGGAATCGAAGCTTTGCCAATAGTCGAATGGGAACCTACGCTGGTTCATAGCTTGAATAATGCCTTAATTAAAATGAGAAATGAATTAACAGATAAGTGTATTAAAGAGGACAAAATACTTAAAGTTCAAATAGAAGAGTTGATCAGCAATATGGATAAAAAGAAGGAATTGATAAAAGAAGAAATTAGAAATATTTATTTTAAGAGAAATTTAAAAATCTTTAGCATTAAAGATGAAATTGACAATCTCGACTTGAAATTTGGCGATGAAACAGGAGAAAGAAAACTAAAGAACTTATTTAAAATAAGAAGAAAGTTACTAAATTTTTTGAATATGAAATCGAACGAAACAATTCAATTACCATTTAATTTGGATATGCCTAAAATCCGTCTACAAATTTCTCAAAATGACTTATCACAATGATAACTCATCAAGTAGACTTTTATTACAAAAATGTTTGCTATTGATTGTTTGTCTAACCTATCTATATATATGGTTTTTTTGAAAATTAAAAATTGCGCAATATTTGATGGTCTTTAATCTATTAGTTTTGTTATTTTTGTTATTTATTTGTATTAATAAATTATGCTTAAAATTTGTAATTTTTAATAAAAAGCTTACATTTTGAATTTTTTAATAGAAATGATGCAAAATTCCTTTTAACAGTTATATTTACAATTATTCCTTCTTTGAAAAGATGCTTTTGAGCTATCAATTTAACTTCTTTTCTTATTGAATCAACAAGAAAAACGTACGAATCATTTAATAATAATATTTTATCATTTAATATTTCTTCTATTATATCTTCCTTTAACGATATTCTCTTTTGGATTGGTAATCTTGTAGCCTCCTTTACCGGCATAAATTCTTCATTAAGTATGTCATTATCATTACAATAATATACTTCTTTGTATTCGGTTGAAAAATACAATGTTCCATTTACAAACTTTTTGCTTTTTGTTTGTAAATAAGGCATAAAATTCTTTTTAACTACTAAAGAACCTTCTTCAATTTGATAAATGAATAAATTATAATTTTCGCGAAACACTAAAAACGGTTGTTGATTTTCTAAAAATAATTTTTGTTTTAATGAACAGACTTGAATATTTGAATTTTTTTCCATTTTCATAATCCTATAGACCAAAAATCTTTTCAATAGAATATAGATAGTATTATTAAACATCTCTACATCAACAATTTCGAAAGATTCGTCATTTAGTGTTATTCTTCTTAATTGAAAATTGGTACTACACTCGTAAAAATAACTTTTTGTAAACAAAAGCCAATTGGAATTGACAAAAAATGTAAAATTAAACTTTTCTAATTGCTGTTCAAATGAAGATTCAGGTTGAATATGGTTAAATAAATAGAAATTCCAGTCATTCAGTTTTGATACAATATCTTTTTTGTCCATTGTTAGATTGCTTGACTTTTCTAGAAAGAGTATTACATCATTTATAACTTTCTCCTCTTCAATCTGATTGGATAATGTTGAATTTTGTGAATATTGATGTTCAAGCTTATTAATCATTGTAGAGTACTCTTTGAGTTTTTGATTCAGAATCATCTGTTTCCTTTCAATTAACGTTTGCAGCTTGTGTAGAACATTCGCTTTTAACTTTGCTACTCTGTTCTCCAAATCTTCAAGAATCTTCTCCTCTTCTATTTGAAGTTCCTCTCGTTTCGATATTAATTTTGTATATAAATCCTCTTTCAAAGATTTGAATACATTTTCTAGTTTTAAATCATCCAGACCACCTAGAGGCCATAAAATTTCTTCTTGACAAATAGGACATTTAATCCGATCATCAAATTTTAAATATATTTCATTTTTAACAGTCTTTTTAAGGCAAACTAAACAAAAAAAATGGCAATCATTGCAAGGAAGACAACGGATATCCTCTTCTTTTTTTACATCAATCAAACAAATTAAACACCTCATAATCGACAATAATGCTAATCCAAATAGAAATATTACTCTTTTCTTTGTGAAGATGTCTTTATAAATAAACTAAGCACGTAGGCCAAAAGGTTAAAATGAGTAATAGAGAAAAAGAGTCTTACGTATAAAAATAGAGTTGGATGATATAAGATTTATATTTAGTTTTGTGTTACAAATTTTGATGATGACGTTGCTGTTTGTATTCTCTTTTTTAAATTAATTTACCTTTTAAAGCAAGCTCTGTAACGTTTCTTTTAAGCTTATAAATAATATCTTGTGGTATGTTAATACCGACAGGAAATATCAAGAAATAAAAATTCAGGAATATGTTAGCTATTGTTATTTACAGGCCTCTTTTGAATGAGTCAATTCCCTCCGTATTTGAATGAAATCGATATATTATGTTCATTGATCGTCTTTCTATATGATTTAGGTGTATATGTTAATATTAGTAAACATATATATATATATATATGTTTATATATATATATATATATTGTAATTTCCGTTTTCAGCTCCCAGAACCTTACATTCAAAAATACCGTTTTCAATATTTAGTAATTTATACAATAGAAAAGGTAAATTATTCCATATAGGTCCTTCTCATTTTAGTTATGAATAGAACGTTATTTAATAATACTGTCTTTCTACACGAAACGTTCATGACTTGGCTATTAGATAGAATATAGGATATTCTTTTTATTTCTTTTAATTACTAACACCATTTCGAATGTACAATGTCTTGCCCTGTTTGTTTTGGTACACTATCAAAGTCGGATTGCAGGCTTTTGCCCTGTCATGAATCGCATATTTTTTGTGATTCGTGTCTGGAAAAGCTACCGAAAAGAGGTCTAATTAATAAGGAATTTGATTGCCCTCTTTGTAAAAGAATATTAAAGATACCTAGAAATGGAATTAAAGGATTTGAAAAATACTCTTCTCCGAAGGCGTCCGAAGCAAAGAAGAAATTGCTTATACAGAAGGTTAAAGACTTAAAACAGGAAGATCGAAGAAGGGCTGAATGCGCTATAAAAGATCTAAAAGAGTTTGAAAAATTATGTTCAGAAAAGAAGAATACAATCTTGAATTCATTGGAGGTAAAATGTTTAAAGAAAAAAGGCGAATTAGAGGATATTCTTAAGAGAATCAACTTAATAGAATCCGAAAGTGGAGATTTAGCAGTAGCTCAAAATTTAAAGAAACTGTCAGATCTTAGGATGGAGTGTATAAAAATCTGTAAAAATAATTTTCATATAATAGGCCTTGAAAGACTGAGAGAGTTTAAATTGCATATATCACTCGTTCCAAAAACGTCAATAAACTTTGAAAGAGTCTGTTGGTTCGATTCCTATTCGTTTAGGAAATTATATTTTGATAAACTTGGATATTCATTAATGAATGGGATGAAAACCGAAAATAGGAAATTATGTGGAAAATTTAGAAAAGCTCTGTCTTTTGAGAGACAAGAAAATTTTGTAGTTGATGGAGTTGATAATTCAAGAGAATTTCATGAGTTAATTGCAATTAAAATAACAATAGATGTTACAGCATACTATCTATTTTATTGGAAAGTCGATAAAATACTACGTTTATATCTTCCTGCTAAAAACGAACTAACCAATATGGATGGTATTGTATTTTTTAATATAGATAACGATGTCTATTTAACCAATGAACGAGGAGAAATTTGCTGGAGACGGAACTATTTTTTGCCTATTGATTCGTCCTTTATTACAAGACATTGGAAAAATACTCTATACGTATATAGATACACTAATTGTAGTGATGACGACGAAACTATTGACCTAAGTTACAGTAGTATAAACGAAATTAACAAAAATGCAACTTATTCTGGTATTCCAATAACAATTGAGTTTGTAAATGATACATCAGCATCATTGAAAAGTATCTTTGATGATATTGTAAACGGATGTTTGTTTATGTCTACAAGAGATTTCGTATTTACTATAAACTCTATTGAGAAAACTGCTAAAGCTTATAAACAGAAAAGTCTCTTTCAAACTTATATAGTTACGGAATATCATCAATCAGAGGATGGATTTAGTTTCTATTTAATAAATGTATTGAGAAATGAACAAAAATTAAAAGAATATAGAATGACCTAAATAAACAGATATTTTCTAAAAGTCGTACGTTATTGATCTAGCTATACCGCTAGCATTATAAAATAGAAATTGTATTTCATCTTTACAAGTCATATAGTTATCGGCATCTTCAATATATTTTAAATTCGACGATGGAATCCTAGTTGCATTCTTCGTTTCACAGTCTAAAAGGAAGATATATTTACTACTTTTTGTAAAGATTTTACCAGTTTTTATTTCTTTTAAAATATTCTCCCTTTGAAAGATCTCTTCTTTCTTAGTTATTTGAATTGAACACTTTTTAAATATAGTTTGTTGTTGCGTTTTCCAGTTTGAATGAGTTGTAATATCATCCATTCTACAGTACATAATCTCTTCTTCAAGAATAAAATAAATGAATTCTTTTATCTTGAATTTCTTATATACTTTTGAATTTTGCAGGAGATTTTCAAATATATTAAAGACTTTTGCCGATGGATCGAATACTATAAAATTCCTTTTATCCAAAAATAGTAACGTTTTACTGTGACGTCGTTGAACATCTCCATGAGTTACATTAACATCTTTAAAACTGTTTGAAGTCTTTTTCATTTTAAAGATTTTATAATCATTCTCTCTAACTAGAAAGTAGAAATTGTTTCTATCATCTTCAGCAATATCAATGAAATTGATACAATGATGAGTTGTCATATTATCTTTATCTAATATATGATAACGTCTATTCGAGCAAAAGATATAAAAATAAGGATAATGAGCAAATGTTAATTTTATATCTTTGATGAATTTCTCGTATTGATTAATCGGTTTCTCATATCCGTAGAGAGCAAGGCACAAATTATTAAAGTCGTTAATATTTGAATCAAACTTTAAATACTCGTTACTAAGACTCTCTAAAACATCTTGTATATTATTAAGGTCTTCTTCTTGCCTGGATAGAGTTTCTTCATCGGCCTCCTCACTTTCAATATTATTATTCAATATCTTTAACAATACATCCAAGTTGTTAGTTTTTTCGCTAAGATACTCTTCAATATTCTGTTTTAAGTTATTCTGTTCTTCTGCTATTTCCTTTTTAAGATTACCGATTGTTTGTCCGAATGTATCATTTGCACTACGCTCACTAAATTTTAACTCTTGACCAGATATACTGATCTCTTCTCTTAGGTTTTCTTGTAATATTCCAAAGATGTTTTTTACTTTAAATTCGTCTAGACCAAGTTTAGGGCATAAAATTTTATCACCACAACGAGGACAATTAAAATTAGTCTTATTAGTTGCGTATTTCCGTAAACATTGAATACAAATTATACGAGAACTATGACAAGGTAATTGTCGTATATCCTTAGTTTTAGTTGGTTTGAAACAAATACAACATTCCATTTTATTAAGAATAAATGAAATACACTGCTGCTAAATTCAAATTCAACTAAACTCTTATGAATCACTACCCCCACCCATTTGTTCAATACTAAACAAAATACTAAACAGTAATCGATTAAAATCGGGTAAAATAAATATTTTTATATATTTTCAAATGTGTAAAGAATAACATAAAAAGCGATATCAATTGAAATAAAACAGTTTTCTATTCTACTTCTTCATTCCAAACTATCTATGTCTACTTTCGCTTTCTAAAAGTATATATAATACAGTATATAAAGGTTTTGAAAAAATAGGCCAATTAAATTCTATAATATAAGAGATATGGTTAAGTTCTTGAAGGAAAAAAAACATTTTATTCTTTATTGAAATTGGGATCTAGACCAAACGATTCTAAATTGTATTGTAGGTTACTTATAACGTCTAGAAGATGGTTCTTAGACTCCGAATCCAATTTAAAATCAAAAATAATACTTTGCATAATTCTTTGGCTTTTTAAGAATTCTCCTAATTTTTCTACTGCATAAAAATCAATTGCTATATCTGACAAACTAATCGCTTCTACTGAAGCGCCAAACATCCCTTTGAACAAACTACCTCCAATAGATCCATTTAAATTTATTTCCTTTAAACTAATCATCAATAGATGACGTTGATTACTTATAATTTTCCCAAGATTGTATGCCGACTGTTCATTTAGGCAAATGTGATTTAAATTTAAATATTCTATCCAACAACAATCTTCCGTAATAGTTTTAAAAATACGCTCTCCAACAATTTCTGCTGAGAATGCATTATCAAAGTTTAATACCCTTAATTTCTTTTGAAGGCTTAAGAATTTTCCAATACAAGGGGCAGTTGCATGACATATATTACTATTTTGAAAATTAAAGGCAGACAGAGAAGAGCATGAACTCTCTAAACTCCAAAATAGATTCTCTCCAATTGAAGCACTTAAATCTGTATTTTCAAAGGAGAGAGTTTTTAATCCATACTGATTTCGTATAAATATTCCTAGATACTTTGCAGCTGTACTATCCAACTTTGCATTGGATAGATCAAGTATTTCTACGGAAGAGCAAGAAGACGATATGTTACTAAATAGAATTTCTCCCAAATTTCCACAAAAATCAACTTCTCCAAAGTTGATCATGTATAAATTTATTTGATTACCGATAAACTCTCCTAGATATCTTACCATATTCTCGTCTAAAATGCTCTTCTGAAGAGAGAGCTTGCGAAGAAATGATAAATGTTCATGAAGATTATTAAATAGAGTACTTCCTATCTCCATTCCTAAATTCATATGACTCAGATCAAGCGATTCTAGAACAGTTTGTTTCTCAATAAATAATCGAAGATAATATGCCGCTTGGGAGCTGATTTTCGTATAGGATAAGTCCAATTCCTTTAAGAAACAACAACAATTGGAAATATTTTTGAAGAGATTTTCTCCTACTCTTCCCTCCAATTTTGCTTTGGAAAGATTTAATTCCTTCATTTTCATTTGATTGCCTATTAATTTTCCAATATATGATGCTAGATATTCGCTTATAACACTGCCTTTAAGACGTATTTCAGTGAGATGCAAAGGTAGTGTCTCAAACCGTCCAATACCATCTGATGCTTCTAATATCGTGTTTTCTATATATAGAAATTCCAAGTGACTCTGATTAAAAACGAATTTTAATATAATTATTGCGGCATTTTCTCTATAATTTCCATTTCTAAAATCTAGTTTTTTTATCAAAGAACAAAGACTTTTCATCTCTCCAAACAGAAATTCTTCGCTTCTTCCTTCAAATTCAATTTTTTCTCTATTTAAACCTATCAAATTAGTTTGATAACTAAGAAATTTACCAAGATAGGATGACGTTTTCTCACTTAATTTACAACCGCTTATATCTATAATTTCAAGAGAGCAGCATGAAGATGACATACTCTTGAAAAGATTCTCTCCAATTTCCCCTTTTAAATTGTTTCCTTTAAGAATAAGTGTTTTTAAAAACTTTTGATTATTAATAAATTTTCCGAGATGACTTGCCAAAGTAGTCGTAAAGTTTATATTACGGAAATCAAGTTTTCTTATGAAATTACTTGTATTTAATAGATTAGAAAACAGATTTTCTCCAACAATTCCTTCAAATTTTACCTTATCTAACTCCAATATCTTTAAATTTGTCTGATAACTTATAAATAGGCCTAGTTTATTGGCAGCCATTTCACCAAGGCAGATTCCATTTAAGAGTATTTCTATTAAAGAGCATGTTGCGCTAATATTATGAAATATCTCTCCTGCTCCTCTTTCGTCTGTTAATTTTGTATTTCTTAAGTCGATACTTATTAATTTGCGTTGATTGGCAATAAATTTTTGAAGATGGCGTGTCATTTCAGAATCGAATTTGCAGTATGACATACATAACTTTTTAAGAGAGGTACTTTGATTGCTATTCTTGAAGAGATTCACTCCTATTAATCCCTCTAAATTTATATTTTTTAAGCATAGTATTTTTAAATTAGTTTGTCTATTTATTAAATTTCCAAGATAAGAAGCTGACCGCTGACATAATTGAACATTGGTCAAGTTTAGGTCTTCAATCGATGAACAATTATTCGAGAGTCCTTTAAAGATATTCTCTCCTACATTTCCTTCTAATTTCATATTACTAAAATTGATTTTTAATAGATGCATTTGAAAACTGAGAAATCTTCCCATAATTTTACTTTTTACAATGCACAAATCACACTTTTGGAATTGAACTTCATGTAAAGAGGAAGGAAAATTAATATCTTCTGATAATTTATCTTCAATAATACCATTATTCTTTATAATAATATTGCAAAGAGTAAGATTCTGTAAGTTCATTTGATTGCAGATGAATATAATAAGTATTTCCGAAGTATTAACATTCATTTCTGTAGATGAAATATTAATTATTTCAACTGAAACACAAGTGGTATTCAACTTTTGCAGAATGTTCTCTTTTATATCTTCATCGAAGTTAATATCTTTACAAACTATTTCCTTGAAATTTGACTGATCGCTAGCAGATTCTCCCAGTTCAGTGTCTATGATTGCACTGAATTCGGTTAGAGAAAGTTTAAATTGTTGTACTGTTGACCTAACATAACTATTACAAAGAAGTAGGCTTTTTCCTATTCTGCCTGCAAAGTTTGTTTGTCGAAGGCATAGAGATTTTAATTGAGTTTGATTGGAGATGGTCATTCCTAAAAGGGATACTGCTTGTTCGCTTAGATTCGTGTTAAATAGACTGAATTTTTCTAAAGAATAGCAAGAATCCGATAGGGTTTTGAAAAGGTTTTCTCCAATCTTTCCATCTAAGGAAGATGATTGAATATTTAGAATTTTCAACTTCAATTGATTACTAATAAATTTTCCAAGACATAATGACATATCCTCAGACAATTTACAGGAAATAATATCCAATTGACAGAGAATTGATAATGAACAGACGCTAACGTTAAACATTTCTAAACCAATAGAATGTCTTAGATCTATACCTCTAAAGTTGAGAGCTTTCATTTCAGTTTGATTTTTTTCAATATAGTTTCGTAGAAAACATGCCGACTTTTCGTTGAATTGCGCTTCAACCAACTCTAATTGACGTATGGAGCAGTAATGTGTTGACATACTTTCAAAAAGATTTTCTATAATTTCTGTTTGCAATTCTATACCTTTTAAACTTAATTGGAATAGATTATTATGATAACTAATGAATTTCCCTAAACTTTTTGCGCTTTCTGAACTTAGAGTACACCAATCAAGCGTTAATTGTGTAATATGGCATGTAGATTCATTAATACTACCAAAAAAAGTCTCTCCAAAATTTCCAGCTAAATTAAACCTTACCAGTTTTAATATTTCCAATCTTTTTTGATTTCCAATAAATCTTCCTACATGTTCAATTCCGCACAGACTTACATCGCAATATGATAGATCAAATTCTTCAAGAAAATTACAAGAGCTTGATATATTCGAGAATAAAATTTCTCCAATTCTTCCCATTAAATTTGTAAATGATAAATTTAGAAGAATTAGACCTCTTTGTAATCCTATAAAAATTCCAAGATTCCTTGACATTCTAGGGCAAAATCTACAATGAGATAGATCAAGCTTTATTATAGAACAACATCGAACATCTTCAATTTGAAAGATATTTTTGCCAAGAAGATTCTCTAGATTAGAATTAGAGAGACTTAATTCCGTTAGATGTGTTTGCTGTTTTAACGAATTGCCCAAGAGGAGTGAACATTCGGAATTGATAAATAACTTTTCTAAATGTAATACTTTTAAATTTCTAATATTCCTATTGAAATGTTGAAGAAACACTTTATTCTGATTTGATAGATTCATGCCATTAACTTTAAGATATTTTAAATTTTTAAACTTTGGTAAATATTCCATCAAAAGTGAGACTTGAAGCATCTTTTCTGAGTGAAAATATTGAATATTATTAGAGAAAATTACAAGTAATTTCACAATATTCTCGCTATGTATTTGATTAAATGTTTGTTTAAATGAAATTGTCTCAATGTTATATTGATTCCTTATAATTTGTAATAAATATTCATAAGCTTCTTCCGTTAGGGAATCATCCAAATCAAAATGCTTTATTTCTATTCTACTACTACTCAGTATTTTAAGATGTTGAATGGTTGAACAAAACTTTAAACGAAGTCTTTTATAATTTACAACTTCTTTAAATTCATTTAGAAAGTATTTAATGATTGTTTTGTTAAATATTTTCAAGTTAATTAACTCATCAACATCTATCTGATCGAGTGGATATTTCTTCTTTCTATAAGTATTAGGAGAGTTAAATACATTTAACTTTGAAAGTTTATCAACTTGAATAATTAAATCAAGAAATATCTTTCCATTTAAATTACCACCGTAAATGATTATAGTCTTTAAACGACTATTTATGACTTTCTTATTCTGGAAAAATTTTAACATAATTCCATTTGTTAATGAATTTTTTGATATATCAATATATTCTATTGTTGATCCTTCTTCAAAACTATCCATAAATCTTTCTAAGAAATTCGATTCAAGATTACATTTTTTCAATTTTAACACTTTTAAATAAGTGAATGATATTAATGAGAATTCCTTCCAGGAGAGGAATTCATGAAAATCGTTAAAAGATAAATCTAATTTTGAATACTTTAACCTTGAAATTGATTCTAATGATGCTTGATTTAAGTTACAAGATGAAAGATTCAAATCTATATTACTTTCTCTATCATTTGCCAATTTAAATTGTAAAAGTACAGATATGTTGCAATCTGCAAGATGATTGCCTCTGGCGCTAAAGTTACTGATATTTTTCAGATAGCTAAAGCATTTTGATATCTCTTCAATATTACTAGATGTAATGTTGCAATGATCAATCATTAACGTATGAAGTTGATGTTGAAATGATAATATATTCTTAAATATTGAATAAAGTATCTTATCTTGTAAATTATTTTCACTAAAATCCAATAATTCCAGTTTTGAGTGACTCTTTTCTACTTGACATTTCTTAGGATTAAACTGTAAATTATCCAAAGGTAATGATGGTAGTTTGACTTTTTTTAATTTTTTAATTTCAAGAATTGCATTCAAGAATAAGAGTTCTTCAACTTCTATCAAATTATTTCCAGACAATTCTAAAACACTTAAATTTGTATTCGTTAAAAGGACTTCTTTAACGACGTTCGAATGAAGATTTAGTTTACAATTATTCAATGCTATTGTTTTTAATTTCCTACTTTTGAATGCATTTAAAAATTCATTATTATCATCTTCATTCAATAAATTACCAGATAGATTAATATATTCTAAATACTTATGAGTGGATATGGATTCTTTCAATTGTGAATGTAGTTTTGAAGGAAGACAGCAATAAGATAAATCCAGAGATTTCAACTCTTCGCAACTTTCTAAAAACCTAAATAATAATTCCCAATCGTTGTCTTTTAATAATAATAATAATAAAAATTAGTTGTATATCTAATCTATTATCAATAAAGTTCAATTTTATATTCTTACCTTTCAATTCATTATGGGAAATATCAAGGTGTATTAAAAATTGGCAATGATGGAAATAGGGCATATCGCCTGAAGAGAAACAATTCTTTAGTTGAAGATCTTCTAGAGTAATTGAATTAATAGAATAGTCTCGTCTCTTCAATTTCATAAATGTAATATTTGAAAAATGTAATTTAGTTAGTTTACGTAAACTTCTTATTATTTTACATAAAAATATTCCGGATACAGTAATTTGAATATTGGAATGAACAGTTAAACTTTGTAATGTTTCCTTCAAATTTTCACTACAACTATGTATAAATTCTTGAAAATTAATTTCTACATCGATAAGAGTGATACTAGTTATCTCAGTTGAGTAGCTATTAATAATAATTGACCATAGAAGTTTTGTTAATGATCCACCAATTAATTTCACTCTTTCAGTCTGCTTTTCACGACTAAAAAGATTGATTATATCGGTTGTAACCGTTTCAGAAATGGTAAGAATATCGATATTATGTTTTACTAATATCGAAAATATATTTTCGTTCATATTCTTTATGAAATCGAATATCGCTCTTCGATTACCAACTTTATCGGGATTACAGATAACCTGTATCAATTTAGTATCATTCTTTTCATTTGTTACCTCCGAAACTAGGCTTAATAGATTATTTTGTAACGATTTAACAATAAATTTAGCTGCGAAATATTCTTTAAACGTATCATTGAGAAAATGAAATTGTTCTCCATCTCTATCTTCTTGTTGATGAACTGGAGATATAAGTAAATTTCCAAAATTTGTCAATTTATGCCCAGCCATATTAATATCTTTATTAAAGAAAATATTAAGAAAAGCTTTTTCAGCGCATGTATTCATCTTTTCATTCAAGTAAATTGACTCTTTTGTCTTCGTATTCATATTTAGTAGGATATGAGCAGCTTCTTCGTAAATTTGAAATTTATTATCCATTATAGTATTATGCTTCTTCTGCCAAATATATGCAACTATAGTTGCAATTAATGGATTAAAACACGATTTTAGTAAATCCTCTCCATTATCTTTTAAAAATTTCAACAGTTTTAAATGTTTCTTATCTTCGTCAAGACAAGGAGTATCTTCTAGGAAGAATTTCTTGAAGAATTCAACAATATTCTCATCGCTATAACCAAGAATCTCAAAGCTACTATCAAATAAACCTTCGTAACATTTTCTCGACCAGACGATAATGGGAAAATTGCATATATTGCATTCTTTAATTTTTAATATAAACATTTCTATTCGACTGTATAATTCGTCTTCTGCATCGACTAGAAGAACAATTCTTCTATCTTGATCCTCACATTCTTTTGATAAATAATATTTAAAGAGATTAAGAGTGACGTAGGACGAATTTTTTATATTCTTCTCATATAAGAATTCAACTAAATTTGGTTCCATTTTGAAATCAGTTAGCTTTATCTTGAGGATTAAAAAATCAATTAATTCTTTATCCTTAGCCCATGAATTAAGGATACTTATAAAGTGACTCGTTTTACCAATTCCCGGACTTCCTGTAATTAAAATCCTATCATCATTGTTAATACATTTAAGAAATTTGATATTATTAGAGCAGAGCTCTCTCGATAGATCTGCATTTAAAGTTCTCAACGGTTTAATTCTAATTGGCATTGAAATCTCTTGAAAATTAATTAAATATCTTGTTTCTGTGGAAAATGAAAATTTTCTTATAATTGAAAATTCATTATAGACATTTTCTTTAGTTTTTTTGACAATGTGTTGCCAAGTTTGTGCAATTGTTTTTCGCAATCGGCGCCATGTCTCCTTATTAGTTGAACTTAAAGCTTTGAAAAATTCGCCTATTGTTAAAGTAAGAATCTTATCCAAATGAGATTTAAAATCCTCTTTCATATCATTTACTTCATTCTCGACTAGAAAGTGACAGGATCTCAACGTTAGGAGAAATGAGTCGTCGTTCTGCAAAAGTTGAACAATAATCTTTTCGTGATGTTTAAGAAGTGGATTAGTTGCCATGTTTGTTACTTAGGTTGACGCTCTCTCCAAATTGGCTTTGCATTGAACAGCGTCGAAGCTTTATAGTTGTTTTACTATCAACGACAACAATTTGAATTGGTAGAGATTGTATTCCAATTTTTTCTCGTTTTTACCGCAGGGAGTTATATCTTTACTTCTAAGGCTTCTTGGTTATATACAGACAGCATATTGCATATTCATATACTGCTCTTTAACCATTCGACTATCTTTTTATGATACTACTCACTTGTCTAGGTATTTATGATTGCTTGTAAACGTTTTGTAGTCAATGATCTGATGTAATTCCCTAGTAATCTCATATAAATAAAGTATGCTATGTATGTTCCTTTCACAGAGACATTGACTGTTTTAAAAATGAAGATATATAGGACAAATAGATTGATAAAAAAAATCTATTGTTTATTCATTAAAACTGAACTTTTATTAAAAATTTCTTACTCTAATGACGTCATTATTACAAATTATAACATTTCACCGAAATTTCTGAAAATGATTCGAAATTCTTTAGAATACTAAACGAGATTTGACTTTCAGTTTGAACGTAATGCCATATTGAACCATCCTTGAAAATATTTTTGTGCGGGTAGGCCTTGGCTGTTTGATTTTCGGAGTTTAATAGGAAAACGTAATCTTTATTTCTCAGAAATAGTTTTCCGTTAACCATCTCTTTGATTATATCATTTCTTAATGAGATTTTTTTATCTATTATTGTTACTGCGACTTTTTCTCCTCGAAAACAAGATATTTTTAACATATCGACTATCTTACAAAAAGAGAGGTCAAGATCCGATCTTAGCAAATAAAACATTCCATCTTTTTTTTCCCTATAACTATAAATATTTGATGAAAAGAAATCCTTTTTAAAAATAATCTCATTTGTTATAGTATCAAAGAGAATAAGGTCAAATCCTAGAATATAACATAAAGTATGATATGGATTAGAGATTTTCCATGTTTTCTTTGTTAATAATTTCATAAACACTTTACTAATTCCATGAAATTTAAACACAGAATAATCATTTCTTGGAAGTTTCGATAGGCCAAACATTTCTTTATCAGTAGATAGTTCAAAACAATTAAAGTTGATATCAATATAACTTGTATTATGGCTATCTTTGTTAAATTCTATTATTCCTTTTTGGGTTAGAGCGTAGAAGAAGTTCTTAGCTCCAAAAAAATGTTGAAGATGGTCAACTTTCTTCTGGTAAGAACTATCGGGTTTTTCATATTCGGAATAGAGAATTCTCCAACCTTCGCATCTTGATGTATCCAAATCAATTGTAACATTCTGCTGAGATATCTCGTCTAAATGTTCAATTGTTTCTTTTAGTTTTTTCTCATCGTTATTAGGAAGTGATGATAAATCATTCAAGATATTTCCCAACTGGGAACGCCTTTTTTCGACAATTTCAGTATATTCACCTTTCAATAATTTTCTTTCATTTCGTACTATTAGAAGCACATTATCAAAAAATCGATCAAGTCTACTCATATCATACTTTTCTTGTTTCTTTAATCGATCTAATTCCGCTTCTACATTTAGAATTAAATTACCTTTAATTGACTTTTTAACATCCATTTTTTTGAAACTATCGATACCGCGATCTGGAAAACTCATTTGGAATTTACAAAGAGGACAAGCAAAACCATCACATTTTAACCTATCTTTCAATAATTTATTAAGACAGACAGTACAAAAAATATGAGTATAATGGCAAGGTAGACGACGATATTCCATATTTTCTAAATTCATTAAACAAATAGGACATCCATCATATTTAAAATCTTCCATGATCGTCTAAGGAAGGATACTTTAATATTAGTACGAACAGGTGAAATAGATTGCTGATATAGCAAATGCAATATTACAAGAATAAGCATAAATTTTTGCAAGTATAACCATTAAATTTGAGACTATCATACCCTCTAGTAGAGGAAAGTATTATTACAATATTACTTGTCTATTATACTAAGATAGTTGTATAGAAAATATTTGTTTTCTTATTTTATTATGAATATTGTTATTTGTATACATGATAGTATGATTCATATTCTACTATTATAGATTTTTCTTTCACAAGATGTTGCAATAAATTCATCTACACTTTGAAAAAAGACAGTTTGTTATGACATAATCGTTGAATGGCAATTAAATCTCGTTTACAAAAGACAATAATAAAAATATACTGTGTATAATTTATAACAGACATGGAAACAATATAAAATATTTATTTGTTAGTTTGTTTGTTTTGTTTGTTTTGTTTGTTTGTTACACCTTCACATTTATAACATAAGCCTCATTTGTAAACTTCTTGTTTGCAATTGTTGAAAATTTTCTTTAATATTTTCAATGTTTCAAAAGTTTGAAATGTAGTTATGGTAACAAGCAGTCCAATTGTTATTGTTCCAATAACTATACCAAATATATTCCATTTTAATGATGATTTTGTAGTTTCTCGCGCTTTTTTCAAATTTCCATTTGCTAAATGAATTCTTGAGAAAATACTTTTAACCAACCCTACCAAACCGCAAAGGTTACCCAAAAGGCAAAACATATATGTAAAGATTGATAGTTTCTAAGTGAGAAAATTGATAAAAAAAAGAGTTAATAAAGTAAATAAAAACAGGAAAATGAACAAACATACCCAAAACCCATCAGCCGATTTGGATGGTTCTATTTCAATTTCACACGCGTTATCTTCGCATTTCTCTGTTTTTTTATTTAAGAGATGATTATCTTCCATTTTTAAAATTGAAATAATGTTAGTTTTCAAGTATTCTTTTCTAGTTAGTTTCTTCAACAGTCCGAAAGCGTAGAGTAGATTGCTTTTGGATTATTAAATATTCTCTCTTTAAAGCAAATATCGTACCAAACATGAGAATAATCTATAACTAAATAATAACAGATGTCTGGTCACATAGCACTATATCTACGGTGGTTTAATGATATATTATATATATATACATATATATATATATATATATATGTATATATAAGATAGAGTGTTAAAAGTTCTTATCATTTAAACAAAATATTAGTTAGTAGTGGTAGTATTTCTATTAATATTTAGACGTTTTAAAGTCTATTGTCAATTAAGTGGAGCACATTTGTAGATTATCCTTTTTCAGTTTGTTTACATGATGTTTATCAATATACATGCATATACTAATAAAAAAGAATGACATGACCATTCATCAAGTATTGAATTCCCATAAAAAAAAGAGTTTTTTCTACCAATAGTGATTGGTAATTACAACAACCAAACTCTTTATATCTTTTAGTTATGTTCCCTAAATTAATAAATATAAATTCGATTAATCACAATACTGTAAGCTTAAACGATTAACGCTGTTAGCTTTATTCAGTTTGTTTTGAATATCAATGATGTTTATGAATCTTAGGACAAATAAGAAAGACAACTTTACAATCAGTAGATATTGTATTAACAAGATAAATTCTCTACTCTAATCACGAACTCAGGAATATGTTGTTTTTTGTTTATACGTTAGCAATTTCGTTTCAATTTTATTTTGGCTTTCAGTGTTTGTCACTCACTCATTTTGCTGTATTTTGTTCTTTTTATAGATCTTTGTGCCTGTTTATGTCTCTAAATGGTTATTTGATTCTACTCATTACTGTGAAGCCACGTTCGTGTTGTCTCACTTGACATCGCCTCATTCCGTTCATAGGCTGTGATATCAGGTCAAGCTGACATACATTGATATGAGCCTAAATCGCCTACCCTCACCATATGACACACACTCGCACCTTACACATTCGTTCCTTCTCTCACACACACATTCATACTAACCCATAACATAGCTGATAAGAATTGTTTTGTTCGTTGTATTAAGTAAACAAATAGCAAGTGTTAAAAATTTTTAATTGCACGTTTTATCTTCTTTTAAAATTTATATACGGTGAGATAACCTTACAGTATTTGCATGATAAACAAACATAACACGAGACACGCAAGTAAAGTTATAATTCCCACCACAAGACCAAGACAACTGCAAATAAAAGAACATTTTGAATACTCTGCGGCTTTTTCCATATTTCCATTTATTTGGTAAGCTTTTGAAATAATACTTTTTTGAAATGCAACAAGGCCACACAGGGGATTACAGCAAAGTATTGTAAAGACTGCAAAGGGCTGTAAATTTGATTATTTAAAATGTATTGAACTTGAATAAATAGTCTAGTTTTCTCTTGTTTACATACCCAGTATGATTTTACTTTTTTTTGTCTGATAAAGACGACTTCACCTGTTTCCACATTTTCTGAGTCGATTAATTTTGCTACTTCTTCTGTTTCAGAATTCAACATATTTCTTGTATTTTATTGAAAAAATATTGTATAAAACGTTGCTGATTTTCTGATATAGAGATGTCCTTAGTTTGTTTTTGGTTGTTTCGTTTTGAGCTTACGGCCTCATAAGAGTTCCCTATCATTCTTTTATAGGTGACTATCAGGCACTGCTCAACACTTATTAACGCTCACCAAACCAGTTTGACCCACTAACAACATATGCATATACATACATAAACAATCACGCAATCGGCGATTAAGGTTCGTGACTGAGAATGGTGGAATAACATGAATAACGGATGATGTTCACATTCAAGCATTCACACCGTCATAGTACAAAATGTTATCTCTGACATATATATATATATTTAGTCTAGTAAGAGCAGAAGAAGCAAACTCATTTCATCGGTGATTATAGGTTACGGCGCAGTGCAGAGAATGTGGACGTATTCACGTTTATGCATTCAAACACTCATGTCACCACCTCTACATACAACAAAAATATTATTTTGTACATAAATATAATTGTTTATATTTTATGCAAATGAACTTTGAACGAACTAAATATCTAAGGAAGTTTCTATTTTTCGAAGTTGGATTTCATTGCTGTTGTCATCCTCTTCTCTTGATTCAAAAACATATTCTGACCCATGTAGACATCTATTCAAATACCTCCTAACAATGCGTGCGTGTTCAAAAAGAAAACGATCTTCAACGTAATGCCGACATCGGAGACCTGTACATCGTTGTTCAATTGAAAATGAAAAGAAAAAGCTTATAAAGTAAAATTTTACTTACATGGAAATAGACTAAGCATATTACTCAATAAGAAACTTAAAATCATACCGATAGCCGGATAATAAAGATAAGAAATAGCATATAAACTTTGCAATCCTTCTCTAATAAAGTTAAGGTAGTTTTATAGAATTACATATACATATATCATACATTCATTTTAATATAAAGTATTAAAAACTTACGGCTTTCGATGGAGACTTTTTGGTAGTTCGGTTAAAAAACTATTACAGTCATTCAAAGACATATTCAATCTTGTTATACGTTGATTTTTAATAAATATTTCATTCGAATAGATTGTTTCATTAAGTACAGTTCTATATATATTAGATATATTTAAACAATTTTCAATAATTTCAATAGATGAACAGTTAAACACTGGTGAAAGTTTTAAACTGGGCGAAAATTTATAGTATATTGAACCCATATTCAACCAAATTATACTGATAAACGATGCTATGCAACTAATGAGTATTGACTGTTGAAAAGAAGAAGAAAATGAAAATCGAAAGCTATTATATATATATATTTATCATTTAAAATTTAATTACAAAGCCTGAGATCCAGGGAAATGTTGCCGATAAAAGAGTACAAGCGCCCAATGGGCCTACAACAGAACCAATAAAACTATACGCCAGCTGAAAGATATATAAATATAAGACCATCAAATAAACTCTTTTATACTTAATGAATATTTTAATAATTACTTCGAATAATGTAGCTTTAACGTGTTGAATGCTAATTGAAACCGTTAACATTAAGATACCCAACACTACACCTATTATTTGATGTTTATGATTAAAAAGCAAATTGAATAAATTCCCTAATTTTTGCTTTTAAAAACAAACCAATTAATTTATTAAGTTTACAGTAGATTGTCTTGTTTATACTAGGAAAATTTGGAACTATAATACTTTCCCAAAATACAGCAGTTAAGGAATTTAACGATGACGATAAAGTACTTTAATGATGTTGATATATTTTAAGAATATTTCAATTAATTTTAAAAAATACTTCCATTACCTTAACGATGCACTGAAGAGACATGCTATAAAGAGACCAGGTATTCCTGATGAGCTCATTATCTCCATTATAAATAATGGTAATATCTATTAGATTATCAATTTTAAAATGAATAACTAGGATTATTTAATAATATTTTCTCTTCCTTACTTGATTTGGATTCGATATCTGATGAGATTTTAAAGGATCGCAACCTCTCGAAGCATAATAGGCGAAAGCGCAAAAACCGCATAAACTTGCTGCCAGGTGAATAAATGCATAAAAAGGAATAGGAATGAGAAGAGACCTTTATAATAAACAAAACATATTCTTTAATAGTTAAACAATATAATTATTATCTTACATTCTAGCTTCTTTAATCGTTTTCAACATGGAAAATCGTTGAATGTTTAACTGCAACGCACCCGTACAAAACCATAAGATTGGCATTACAAAGACTATTAGCCAGAAAGTTGTTCTTTCAGTAGGATCAAAGCTTATACTAATAAATTAATATTATCTATATTAGATAAATAATAATAAAAAACAAAACAATTTGAAATGTTTTTAACTTGAAAAATTCAATTCTTTTGTATTCCGAGTTAATTGTCCATATTTTTTTCAATCCTCCAACATTGATAATTCCCTGTTTTACGTTCGGTAAAACAGTATTTAATTAGAATAACTATAATAAGTAGTTTTTTCATTTTGTATACCTTAGTTAAAACGTATAGTAAACTCAATATAATAACAACCGATTGAAAAACATCTGTCCATATTACAGCTCTCACTCCACCCTAGGATTATATAATCATAATCATAAATTTTATACTAATAGATACGTTTACAAAATGTTAAGTTTAATTACGATAGTTGTGTATAGGGTTCCAATTCCGATACAAACTGGTATTGTTATATAATTTGATAGACCAGACACACCGTGCAATGCTGTTGACGCTGCGTAAACTCCAACTCCGCTAACAACAATCTAAAATGAAAGAAGAGTGAGTGAACGAGTAGGGAAGATAGAGGGAGAGAAAGAATCTTACCAAAAAAATTGTATAAAGAAGGATTGCAAAATATTTAATAGTGTTTTCTTTATATCTCATTGAAAAATACTGTTCAAAATGTATGAATGACAGATATATAATAACGAAAATAGATAAATATATTCACCTCAAAACTACTCGTTAACTTTAAAGGGTAAAATAATGGGACAATTACAAATGAAGCCAACGTATTACCAAGGATCATTGCTAGTATTTGCAATGAAAATTGCGTACCATAACTATAGATTTCGGCGGGTGTTCCTAAAAGTTCAATAGTCGTAACATTCGTAGCCAAAATGGATAAGGCAATTGGTATTAATTTCAATTTTTCTCCACCCATAAAGTAATTATGAGAATTTTTATTGTTTTTTCGACAAAGGTAAAATATCCCAATACTTAGTGAGAAAAGTAGACTTATTGCGAACAATATAAAGTCTAAAAGTTTAAAGGAAGCATTTAACATCATTTTCTCTATTTTCCCAAGAAATTGAATGAAATTTGAATTATTTCTTATATATATATACTGTATATTTATTTGTAAATTAATTAATATTTGTCATGAAATTTTAATGTACTAATTACAAAAGGATAGATTGTAAAAGAAACATGACCTAATTTTTCCTCCCTTATATTGATTGATTATTTTGTAATGTTCCTTGTCTTGCCGGTACCCTTATTGCTAATAAAAATAGGTTGAATAAAGCAGTTATTAATATAAGGTGGGGCTCAAACTATCACATAAACTCATCTTTCAAACTCTAAAATATATTGTTTGCGGCAGGTTTAAAATTTTAATTAGCAGCTCATTATCAAAATTATGGATATTTATAACAGGTCAAACACTCTTCTCACCAGTCAACAAAAATCTTTTATAGAGTGAAGAAAACAATGAATAGTACTAACTTTTTTGGGAGTGAAATGTCCAAATTGGATTGGCTTACACCAAAAATATTTCCATATATATCATTCCCAATTGGCGTTGTATTTGGAATACCATTCAATTTAATATCAATTATAACAATATTCAAGAGTAATTTAAAAAATACAACTCTATTTCGCTATATGGCATTTGTCTCATTGGCTGACTTTCTTGTCAACTTTAGCTATTCGATAAGAGGTATAAGCTTTTTCTTGATTGAAAAGATGTCACCGGAAACTTATATGTGGTTTAACTGCAAAATTACGTATTTTCTTGGACTAAGCGCAAATCAAATTTCATCCATGTGTCTTGTGGCGGTAACCTTTGATCGATATATTTGCGTTAGTTGGCCAACGAAAGCAAAAGTATGGTCTACTGTTGGAAGGTGTAATAAAGTTGTTGCGTGTTTGTATTTATACTCTTGCATCTTGTTCTTTCTACCTCTCGTCATCTACGATAAAGGAATAAGACTATCGAAAAATCTTATCATATGTTCGTCATCCTACACCAAAATCTTTGATATCTTTAGAACTCACATTTTAACAAACTATATTGTGGTTTATTCGCTAATTCCATCAACCTTACTAGTAATATTAAATGTACTCATGATAAGAAGCTTGAAAAGTCATATAACCTCCACAGAAGATAGTATGAAAGACAAGAGCACGAAATTAAGAGATTCCGCAAAGAGATTAACCATGACAACAATTTTAGTATCTTCAGCGTTCATTATCTTTACTGTACCACTTTCTTTGTTAACAATATACTTTCGAACAGTAGATACAAGTCGCGGTATACCTCAACCGCAATACTTTATATCTGAAATTCTTATCTCATTTAATAGCTTTAATCACGTGGTTAATTTTGTATTCTATTGCCTATCTGGAAAAACTTTTATTAAAGAAATGTTTAAATTGTTTGGCTATAAGAATAGCAATTATAATACCAGACATACAACAAATCACAGTGAGCAAATAGCTAAGTCGGTGAAAGAGTAAACAGCACACTGATAGTTATTACTGTATTGAATTATAATATATACAGTATATGAAGTGTATGTATATCTCTGTATGTAGGTTATTGATAATAATTTCTTCTCTCTGTCTATCTGTCTGTCTGTCTGTCGTCTTGTCAACGCTTGAGAACACTAACAGGTGTGCTCAGAGGTGTCGTAGAGACCAATAAAAGCTTTTTTCTTCCTCAATTTCAATTAATCATGATTTACATTTTGAAGTATAGTATATTATTGTTATATTATCTATATATTTATAACTTTAATTATACGTCTAGATAAAAATAGATAATATACATACAACAACAAAAAACAGCATAATAGGCTATCTTTTTACAGTTTCAATCCTTTTAAATATTTTTTAATGGTTCAAGTAATAAGAAAGTATGAATCTTTTTTTTAATATTTATTTCTTTAATTATTCATAATATTTAACAAAAAAGCGTCTTTTATTAATTGAAATAAACATGTTCTTTAAGATTTGACCCTTTTAGAAGTGTTGTATAATTTTTCTTTTCATTTAATAGTCCAATTTTAAACAACTACGGCCTTCTTTCTAACCTTTCGATATCGTTTAACAAATCCTCTCTCTTTTCATTTATTTCGCGTTGTAAATTATTTATTTCTTGACAAGATTTAATTATTCTATTAAACTCTTCTTCGCCGTTTTTTGTCTCTTCTAATTGAATGTCTGAACATTGATTTTCACTGTTAAAATTCAATTCTAACTTTGAATTGTGTTTAACATTAACAACATCTTCTTTATTTGGTGTTATACGACGAGTTTTGAAAGAAAACTTGTGAGTATTATTCTCAATTGAATACTTTTTATTCAATTTTTTCTCCTTTATACATTTTGAACAGATGTAATCTCCTAATCTAAAACCAAATGAAGAAGTTTGTTTAGTCGTAATAGTACGAAAGCAAAATGGACAATCCATGAGTTTTTATGAACAATTTGTAAAAGAGAATAAGATTCTTTTTTTTCAAAATCAACTTTAAACCTTACGTTAATGCTGATTAAATAAAGAATAACCGCTGAAAACTTTATGATTTTACAGCTTAAATAGTAAAGTTTTTAAGTGGAATGTTAGAGATGATAAGATAAGCCTTTATGTATTACTAAGCTAACTATTAGTTTCGTATTGTAGATAAAGCAAACTTAGCATTAATATTTCATAAACGAAAGAGCGAAGGCTGTGGATATGGCTTCCTTTTTAAAATGTAATAAATAGGGTTATCCACCCAAAACACAAACTTTTCCAACATTTTTTGGTTTAACATTTGATACATGGAAAAAAAAAACATATGCATTGGCCGGGAGTTGAACCCGGGTCTAGTGCTTGGAAGGCACCAATGCTACCGCTACACCACCAATGCTTCATGAATAACAGCCATTAAAATTTGAAACATGAACAACAAAGGAAACCTATAATTGAGCCTTTTCACTTTAAACGCCCCCTCCCCCTCTCATAAACGCCTCTTTATTTTCATACATAATTAACATTTCTGATAATATTAATGAATATTAATTACTTAAATTGAATATAAATATAGCTAAGCTAAGGATAAAGTAAAGAATAATGTACTGGAATATATTTCTAATCAGCTACTCTATACTATTCAATTTTAGAGTCCAATCTGTAATTCCATCCGTAAAGTTTAAGTGTGGAGGATCGTCGATAGACGAAACTTTGTGTATCGCTTATGGTTGCATGTGGAATTCTGGAATTTGTAGTTATTCGAAAAATTTCATTCGTGGATTCAATACGATGAATGGGAAAGAGACAAGTAACAATGTTATATTAAATACATTCAGCAGTTCAACAGCCATTAAATGCGCTAAAGAATGTTTAAAAATTCCAGCATGTGCAAGCTTTTCTTACGTAGTCGATGATTTGTTTTGTACTATTAAATCTCAGGTTGTTACAACAACTGTTGTTGAAAGTAAATCAGAGATGCAATATAATAGGAAAGCTCATCCGGAATTAACTTGTTTTCAAGCCCACTGCTACGATGAACCTGGAGTTAAAAGACTTCTTACATACAGGAGCGATCCCCTTACTTCTTGTCTCGCAAACTGTAAAGCAACCTCAAGTTGCACTCATATTACTCTTTCCCACGAAAAAGATAATTACTCTTGTTTCTTGGGAAAGAAATTATGCAATGTTTTCAGCGATAAATTTAGATCTAAGCCTTATCAAACAACTTGTCTCATTGGTCCAATTTTCCATAACTCTCTAAATCAGAAGAGTCAACGTCTCACGAATCTAACTGACAATTTAGCTGATACATGCGTAAAAGTAACGGCTGAGAATGAATTCTATTTACGAATACCATGGCCTTCATTGGGTAAACCTACCACAGAGTTTGAAATAAGAATAAGAGGATTAGATATGTCTAAATGTTTTCATTTTTCGGAACAGTCTCCCCTAACGGGCTTAACAACCTTTATACCCCTCGATGATCAAACTGATGCGATATTTTCTGGGCAATTTAGAGGCTGCAAACTGAAAACTGAATATAGTGGGACAGATTGTACATATACATGTACTTGTGGTTTTAACTACTGTCAAGCCGTCTATATAAAAGCGTTTGCAGAAATTGGCAAAGAAATGAGCATCTGCTCTTACGAAATTGATCAACCTTAACAATGGAAACGAAGTCAGAAGTGGATAGGATAAAAGTTGAATTATCCTCAAGTTTACAAGTTATATTATCTCTAATGCAGTATACTCTATTATTACACTGTTAGCTTTTATTGCTTTTATTTTGTCATTCTATATAACAATATGAAGAGTAAAATAGATGCAAACTTTCAATGATTCTGGATAGAAGATATAAGAATGGCTTATAGTCTATAAATTAGCAATGACTAATTACATCCTTACTAATTACATTTTAATTAAGCTTTGATGCCATTTCAATAAATAACATTTCTTCATCATATAGCATTGGTGGTGTAGCGGTAGCATTGGTGCCTTCCAAGCACTAGACCCGGGTTCAACTCCCGGCCAATGCATGTGACTTTTTCTTTTGCATTTTACCTAACTGTTCAAAAAGACATACTTTTTTCCTGTTTAACTTGTTCTAGAATGTTTTGGAAAGAAGGTTAGCGCATTTCATTTAGATTATTTAAAGATTATAAGAGATTTTGAATTGACTCTCTAGCTAGTAGGCATAACGATCTCATCATTCATTGTTCAGTTAGAGACGATGGATCCAATTTTAAATCGGTGAGAATTTTCAGCAAAACGCATAAAAAAATTCACAATGCATTGGCCGGGAGTTGAACCCGGGTCTAGTGCTTGGAAGGCACCAATGCTACCGCTACACCACCAATGCTTGATGAAGTAAGTTGGAAAAGTATTTTTGTAAAGGAAAAAAATTGATTAAAAGTTCAAAGGTCATGGGAAATTGATTAATAAATATCATTATTTCTATAATATAAAAATTATTTTTCTTAGAAAGATTCATTAAAAGAACTAATGCAGTGATTATATTCGTTTGCGCAATAATTTTAAGATTGTCTGCAAAAAAGTATTAGAAAAAGAGGTAAGCGCGTAAGTAGGTGGAGAATAATGATTTGCGTAGATAATCTATCTCAATTCGAACTTTAAACTTGCTATTGCAGTATATTTTTTAAAATATTATTATTAAAAGTTCTGTATTAAATGAATGATTAATAATAAACAAATATAAACGAAAGAAAGTCCTGCAACATAAAGGAGGAGGAGAAACGCTGTAAAAGGGATAAATACTAACTTCACAGGGAGAGTTAATTCAAGATGAATTTGTAGGGAAAATGCATAAAGGAAATTTTACATGGATCAATATTACAATGAAGACAGAGAATTACTTCGTCGTTCTTTATTTGATAGTCCAATAACGTTTTATCGGGAAATATTAATTGCATTTTTATAGAGATAGCATTCTTCTTGTCTGGATCAATTAATGTTATATAGTCATTTAGGCAAAACAGTATATTTCCCGCTACTAATTTTCTTATAAGAACTTTAAGTATCGGAGTAGTTGTGTCCGAATAATCGTGAACTTGGCGAAATTCTCCTAATTGATTATCTGTATAAGATACCCAAGTATTATCGGATAGCTGATATAATGTATTATCCTTAATTTTATAATGTTGACTGGACGACCATAACCTCCAAACTTTTTCTCTTTTTCTACTCTCTGTCGAGAAAATGGATGTCAAATTTCCATCTCCAACGACTATTTTATCATTCAGAATTGTAAATTTACAATTTCCTGATCTAAGAAATGCATTTTCTAGTTTATACGCTTCTGGTTTATGAGTTCCTTTAGGTAGGATATTAACGGCGCTCTCTTCCCAATTATAAACTATAATAAAGGATAATCTACCATCCGAAGTTATTGCTATATCATCAATCGTATCAGCAACTTGACCCAGTACTACTTGATTCCTTAGATTAATAATACGATTTTTACCTTGTATAGTAAAGAAACTTTCAGAGTTTGATATAACCTTTATTGGCTTTTCTTCAACCACAATAGAATATTCATGAACCGGAACATCTGGAGTAGTAAAAAATAATCTTCCAATGGTAGAACCATCAAAAAATTCGGCAGTCTTTAAATACGCTTCTTCTTTTCTCTTAAAACTATCAGTTAATGTATTGACTCTACTCATTATCGTTAAAAAATTATTGGTATTATTTTCCTCCGAATCTCCTTCAGCTAATTTATCAAGTTTTCTTATATTCTCATAAATTTCGTATAGCATCGTTCTCTTCTTTTCATAGAAGTTATTAAGTTGATCTTGAACTGAAGATTGTTGATTACGGATAGAAACTACTAATTTAGTAATTTCATAATTTAGCTTACTCGTTTCATTCTCCTTTTCTTCGTCGATTTTCTTAAGTTTGTTAATAATTTCTTCAGCCATTTCTTTGGTATTATCAATATATGATTTTTGAATTTCAAATTCTTGCATATCAGCCGTTGTTTCGTCCATAGTTCCCAATAAAATATCTTCTATTTCGATTAATCGTCTGAAGCTACGTTGAGTAGTGAAGCGATACATATATTCTGTGCGCTTTATGAAAGCAAACAAACGTAATATATGGTAAAATAACAAGAGAAGGTAACTCTCTTCTTCCTCTTTTTTATTGTTGTCCTTCACCTTTTTCCCAAGTGAGCTTTTACTGCTTTTACCTTAATAATTTACCCTTTTCTATCAGTTTAAGTAAATTATTAGACAGATACTTTTGTCTCTTTAATATAATATTATCTAATAGGCTTATAGTGTAATTCGTTAGAATACCCTAACACAAAATAATAAACACAGCTCAACTTGTATAGACAGAAACAATTAGTAATTAGTTCTTTATTGAAGATGCTCAACAGTTAATGACTTGATAGTATTTTTCAATCATGAACAACAAATCTTTCATTAATTGAAGAGAAATCATCGTATAAATTTCGATTGTGATTCATTTATGAGAAGAAAGTGGTACAAAGATGGAAGATTAGAAAACTGTTGAATTGAATAAGTTTAATTACAAATTAAGGAATTTAAAAGGAAAAAAGCTGTTTTTCAAGACAAAATTGAAAGAATCTAAGCCGATAATTGATGTTTAATAAATAGGTAGTAATGATAAGTAAAAACATTAAAGCAGAACAAGGAATCGAACCTTGGACCTCTAGGTTATGAGCCTAGCGCACTACCTCCTGTGCTATTCTGCTTCATATTTATTCTTTAATTCCTCTCGCAATATAAAGAATACATTTTCTGATGACATTGTTATGAAATCCCCTCAAAAAATAAATGTTAATGAAAAATCCAACTCCTCACACACCAGATGGCGCTTCCAAGTTATTTTTTTCAATGAACTACGAAACTTTAAAATAACTTTACAACTCCGTGATTATTCTATAAAAATGTTTGAAAGAATTATATATACTGTATATATATAGTTAATAAAAGTATTATCATTTCCAGACGTCTTCCAGCTAGGTCACAAATAAGAAAATATAATCTGATAAGATTCGAAAAAACATTGACTTTGACCTTCAATAATTTATTTATTTGATTTTTCTTTTTCATAGAATAACAGAGATTTAACAAATGTACAATGGCAGGTAATCTAAACGAAGAAAATGGTGTATTGGAACAAGAATTTCTGGAATTAACTGAAGAAATCCGACAAAATATTAATGATATTGATAAAGAGGCTGAAATTGAAATTAATAAAGTAAATAATGAAATTATAACATTAATAAATGAGGTAAAAGCAAAACAAATTAGTCTTAAAAATGAGATTTTATCGTTTAATGAAGAAAAGAAGAGAAATCTTTGTCATGCTCTCTCCGACATCAAACGTTTGTACGAAGCTAAAAAAAAATCTAATATACCATTCCTACAATCAGAATTATCTCTTATTATCAAGAAACTAAAGTACTCTTCGGAGAATTTAATGAGGAAGAAGAAAATCTTTGATAGATCGGAAATATTAGATCATTTTGAAATTGGAAAGTTAAATACACCTTTCTTTGAGAAACCAATTGAAAATCATTCAATTGAATTGAATGAAAAACCTGGTAAAGTTATTTCAAATAGACACGGCTTCTATAATATACAAAATAAGAATAAGATTGTGAATCTTGAAACTCAGGAAATTATCATTTGGACGGAGAATAAGATTTATGATATATCAACAACGTATGATAATGGACTCTCGTATCTGCAATTTACTGAAAATCATTATGTTATTCAATTGTTATCAAAAGATAATTATGGGAAAACTAAGTATGTTTTACCAAGAAATGCCGTCAATCCGAATGAAGCCGGTTTTGCAGTTCTAAAAGACGATATAATAATAAACGATATGAATAAACTGTTGGTATTTTCTAAAGAAACTAGTAATATTGTTAACGCTTGGAAATATGATAGAGAAATATCAAATCTTTCTAATAGATTGCAAGGAAACATTTTATATCAATTTTCCGGAAGTTCACTATTCGTTTTTAAAGATGATGAATTTGCAACTCAAAATGTTAGTAAATCCGAAAAGGAGAGCTATTCAATCTATTACGATGTTATTGAAAATCTTAAAAAAGGTAAAATATTATTCTGCAATTCAAAAAATATTGTCTTCGTTGGAGCCAACAATCAGAATGGTATCTCTCTTGATAAAGATAAGCTATTTCCGGCTGAGAAGCTTTTGGATTATAGAATAACAAAAACAGAAATTATATTTTGCCTAATTAATCAAACAGATGAGTTTACAATTAAATTTAAACACTTTCCAATTGAATGTAACTTTTAATTGTATCGTTATTAATAAAATGCAGTTTTTCTCTTTTACTGTAATATTTTGGGAAAATAGTATCTTTCGAATAGTTTGAACTTTCAGGAAACTATTTCGCAAGAAGTACAAAGACTATTGTAATTTCCCCGTTTTTAACAATAGAACAATAGAAAACCAAAGTCAAAGAATTCATTAACCTCCTTCCGATGAAGAGTTTTTTCATTCATTCCTAAACAATCCCAAAACCTTTGATACGATACTTTCAACAATCAAATAATTGCTACTGCAATCTTCTATTTATTTAGGAAAAAGACAAAAATGTCACAATGCATTGGCCGGGAGTTGAACCCGGGTCTAGTGCTTGGAAGGCACCAATGCTACCGCTACACCACCAATGCTCGTAAAGGAATAGGTCTATTAAGATGTCATAGATATTCACATGTAGCAATTGTTCATTATCTTCACCTAAACGTCTCCAAAATTTTAACGTCTGAGTAATTACTATTCTATATATAAAGCAAAGCAATCCTTGTCCAATAGATAGTCTCCACTTTGTATGACTCAGCCAATCAGTTATTGCACAAGTCCATAAGCTACATATAAGTTGGTATTATGTCTTAAAGAATTGTTTGGTTTTCTCACTCTGTTCATTGAAGCCATGGTGAACACTCCTAAATCAAAAAAAGCCTTTTTGAAGAAACTTTCAAACTCTTAAAAAGTAACTTACAAACGACGGAGATGGGTTTCTTTAATAGCTTTATGAAAAAATGGAACACTAGGAGTTTCCGTGGACCTTTTGTCTGTTTCTTTTGTATTGTTATTTATTCGGCAAGTTGCGGATCATTCTTTACTTTTGGTGAATATATTGCACCTTTAAAAGGAAGCATTTCTAACCAAGAAGCCTATTTAGGTGATTCTTTTTATTTATTTGTTCAAAATCTATAGTTAATATAATTCTAATCATTCAAAAACTATTCAATTTGTAGGGTTAATTGCGTCTGGTGCCCTAGCTCTGGTTTATATATGCGCTCCATTTGCCAATTTTGTTGCTGACAAAGTAGGAACTAGAAAATGCCTAATGTTAGGATCCTTTTTTGGACCATTAGTTCTTGCTTTAACTGGGGTTTATGCGAATTTTTGGTCTGTTTTGGTATTTTTCGGAATTCTGTTTGGTCCGGCTAGCTGTTTAATGATCAATCCATTATATTTTACAGTTAATCGCTTTTATCCATTTAGCCATCCAAGACACGTACTTATTAATAGTTTATTAACTTGCGGATATCCTTTGGGTACTTTTATTCTAAATCCAGTATTAGAAATTCTTATTCGTAATTTCGGGTGGCAGAAGACATTCGGTATACACGGTTTAATTCTATTCCTTCTTTGCTTTCCGTTCTCTCTGGGGGTTGTGGATCCTGACCAGTTGGAAGATAAGGCGGGTGAGAGAGACGAAACAATTCCTCTTATTCGACCGGCTGAAGAAGGGCAATTAAAAAAAAAGACAAGAATAATTGTCGGAATGTGTTGGTTTTTTGCAACATGCCTTCGCAGTGTTGGATACTCAGGTTCCATTATGTTTCTGGTTTGTTATAAAGCATAGTTTTTTGTCGCTTTATGAATAGTATTGTTAATAACTTGAATAGGTTCACTACATGACAAGCTTGGGAGTTTCACCGGAAAAAGCTAGTATTGGAATGTCTGTTATGGGTATTTGCGAGGGACTTAGTCGTTTAATTTTTTCCCTCTTTGGAGATAACCTTAAAGGACATTTAATCTTTTCGTACACAGTCGCCAGTTTACTGTTGTCATTGACAAACTGCTTTGCTATATTCACATATAATTTTCCGACTGTTCTCATTTACATTATTGGTAAGCTATACAACTAGCACGATATAAACAAACTAATGGTTGTAATTTAATAGCTCTTGGTCTATTTGATGGTCCAATAATGGCAGCCCAAATATCAGCATCAATAGAACTTCACGATGGAAGACATCTGTCGGAAACATTCTCGATTTTCAGAATATCTATGGGCATTGGTTCCTTTATCGGACCAACTCTTGCAGGTTTTGTCTTTTTCCCCTAAAACATACGTTCCACATTAACCTGTCTCTTCCTTTTGTTTCTTTACAGGTGCCCTCTTCGATTTAACTCATTCTTTTCATTCGCTATTCTACCTTGGATGCGGATCTTACTTTTTCTGTAGCATATTCTATGTTACATGCCTATTATTGAGAAAATTCAAGAAAAGTTGGTGGGAAAATGAATACGTTCAATTCTCTATTGACAAACAACAACCTGAATAGACAATATATACAGTGTACTAATATATTGTAGATTTCCCTAAAAAATACGACTAAACCTTTATGTTTATTATCTACTATTATTAATTTATACAATAATGCCAAACATAGATGATTATCTGGGCATAGATATCTTAGATCTGCTATTTTCGTCCTTATCATTATTCGCGTCGTAGAGTTTGCGACAGTCCGGCGGTTTTGAAATATGACATTTCTCAAAATATTCAATGTTGACTTCCGACAGTAGGGTAATTACTTCATATTAGCGAACACTAAGTCCATGTTCATGAGCATCCGCGTTGATACTTCGGATGAATCTGATTCTGGATTCCTCTATGAGGATCCTAAACAGAAGGGTAAATACTTTATCTGCAGTGATCTCTCGAGCAGAATTGATAGTAGCAGTAAGAGCTTTGGTGAACCGAAGACTGCGTCATCCATTGATTTATAACATTAAAACTTAGTTTAAGTAATATTTTCATGTATATTGTATATACTTGATAACGTAGAAGATATTATATGCTATTCGATAATCCAATATTATAAATATAGATAATCATAATTGAACTTAAGACAAAAATAGGCCAAATACAATTTTATATCGATAGCAATATAGACAAGAAAAAAGGAATTATTTTCCATTAAATGAATCAAAATTCAATGAATAAAGAAGATAACGATGACGAAAGTAACCAAGATGATATCGATGATACATTTGAATCACTTTCGAATAAGATTCTTCTAGAAATAGATAATATTGACGAAGAGACGAATACAGAACTAAATCAAATTAATCGTGAAAGTTTAATGCTATTAACATTAATACATAGAAAGAAATTTATACTTCAAGATGAATTAAGAGAGTTTTACAAACGGAAAAGTTTAAAAATGGAACAGTTATTAGATGATATTCAAAGATTAATTGAAATTAGACGTATAACGACAAATGAATTATTACAAAACGACCTAGATAAACTTTTAAAGAATTTAAACAACTCTTGTAATGAACTAATGAAAGTGAAAGTAAATATTGAAAGACCTAGTTATCTTGATAATCTATCAATAGGCGAACTATTAATAATTGGAAATGAAAAACGATTAATGAAAGAACGATCATTTGAATTAAGAGAGAAATCACAGAGAATTGTTTCAAATTCTTTAGGATATTTCACAATTCGAAATGATCATGAAATAATTGAAATACAAACTAATAGATCTTTATTAAAGGCAAACAACACTATCTACGATATAGCGATATCCTCTCATCAACAACTATCTTTCATAACGATTAATAATGAAAAACAATTTATTGTAACAGTATTAGACGACGATTTTAAATTAAAGTATTCTAGTAACATCAACATTGGAATAGATACATTCATAAATTACGCAATAGATGGAAATTTTATCTATATCTTTGATAAAAATTCAATGTATATTAATTTCAAGAATGGAGATGATCAAGTAAAAAGAATTTCTTTTAACGATTCAATTCTTCTATTGAAATTTAAAGATGATAAGATATTTTTAAAAGTTGGCGATTCTTTTTATTCTTTTGATACTTTAACGGAAAAAAGGCAACTTTATAATATAGAAATATTCAGTGGAGATGATAAGATAAATGATTCTATCTTTACAAGTATATTGAATAGGATAAAAGATGGATTTTATTCAATTGTTTATAATAATAATCTAATTCTTTTGGATAATACAAAATACGAAGGAATTCTTATTGAAATGGATAAAGTATTCACCGATGGTAAATTATTTGATTGTTCGACGAATGGTAATGAAGTAACATTTTGCCTTGTCGACTGCAAAGATGAATGTTTAATTCGTCTTAAATCTTTTGCTGTTTAGATTTTACTATAATATTTTTAATTATTAAATCTTGTATTAAAGACAACCAAATAAAAGCTACTGCAATCTTTTATTGATTTAGAAAAAAGACAAAAAAATTCACAATGCATTGGCCGGGAGTTGAACCCGGGTCTAGTGCTTGGAAGGCACCAATGCTACCGCTACACCACCAATGCTCGTAGAAGAATTAGTCTATTAAGACGTCATAATATCACATTTTTACATATTCATATATGATAATTATTTAAAATCATCGTCAAAAACTATTTTTCTAAATATAGTGAAAAACAAAGATAACACTCTCAGTCATTGTTTAATGGATACTTTTCATTTTGTATGACTCATCCAAGCAGATATTGCACAACAAGTCCATAAGTTATGTACAAGTTAGTATTATATGTTATAGAATTAACTAATTCTTTCACTCTGTTCTTTGAAGCCATGGTGAATATTCCAAAATCAAGAAACACCTTTTGCAAAGGTCGTAAATGCCGAAAGCATACTCTGCATAAAGTGACTCAGTATAAGAAGGGAAAAGCTAATGGTTTAGCTTTAGGTATAGTATTTTATTGCTGTTATTAGAATTTTAAAATGCTTCTCTTTTGAAAAAATAAGGTGATAGAAGATATCACATAAAACAAGAAGGTTATGGAGGACAAACTAGACCAATCTTCCATAAAAAGGTAATAGTACTTTCTTCTTTCGCTCTCTTCCCCTCTTTCTAATTCTATTCAAACATACTTTTAAAAAGGCAAAAACGACTAAAAAGATTGTCTTGAAAATGGAGTGTACAGTTTGTCATAGAAAGAAACAATTGGCAATTAAAAGATGCAAACATTTCGAACTTGGAGGAGAAAAGAAGTCAAAGGGTCAAATGCTTCAGTTTTAATTGCAAAACATTTGTGACTCCCTCATCGTAAGCGAAGGCTTGCATACCAAATCCTAAAACGGCAGATAGCTGTATCGAACCAACAGAAACAAGAGGATTGGATACCGTGTATGAGACATCCATTGGACAGAGTCCATTAAACAGGATGGGGCTCAACAGAACCTGAATAAAATGTATGCCATCGATTATTTTTGTATGTAGGGAAACTTTGAATAAAAATAAAAATTTTACTTTGAAAAGTAACTAAAGAAAATGTCTCTTTGAAACAAATATAATAAAAATTATTATAAATCAAAATAGGTCACTAGGTTAACAATATATTAAAGAAATTATCACTATTGGTTTGATTTTAAAAGAGTATTAAAGACGTTCAGAATATGTTTGAGTACTTTCAACTGAATACTATTCAAACGTATTCCATCCAAGTTACAACCTTACCGAAGTAGAAATAATCATCGTTACTGGTCTGGCTTATTTAGAAAAAGGATGGACACTTTGGATACAATACCCGTAGATAGCGACGATAGTGGGTCGATTATGTCAGCTGAAAATTATACATCAGAGGCATATATATCATCATCGGATGAGCACGATATACCCGAAAATAAATTGCAGTTATTACTGAACAGAATAAGAGAAGAGATTGAGAAAGTAGATACGGAAAAAGAGAAGAAGCGTAACGAATTTATCACAGACGTTAACAGTTTAATCGACTCAATTCATAGTAAAAAGATAGATATCGATAGTAGAATAGATCTATTCTATACAGATAAAAAGGCACAACTTGAAAAAGCTCTTTCAGAAGCTAAACAATTAAATTCATTATACGAAACTTCATCCAACGAAATTATTCAACGTAATCTCACTAAAATGATTAGCGAATTTTTATACTCAACCGAGAACCTCCTCCGAAGGGAGACAGTCTTCGAAGGTTCTAACCTTTTTGTTGAGAAAGATATAGGACATTTAGTAAGACCTATTTATGAGAAACCTGTTAGAAGGTATTTTGCAGAGCTTAGAGCAAAACCCAGAAAGATAATCTCTACTAAAGATTCATTTTTTATATTACAAAATGATTTTATAATATACGATCTACAGAATAAAGCTATCGTTGTAAATGAGGATAGGAAGATATTGGATATGTGTGCAACATACGAGGGTCGCCTATCGTATCTTGCAATAAACGATGGTATTTTCTACGTAAAGCTATTAGAGTATGATAATTACGGACAATGCGAATACTTTATTAATAAACGAGAAATTGATGCACAATCTATTGTATACGGAGTATTCAAAGATTGTATTATGTTAAGGAGCTTACGTAGTAAAACTGCTTACTATTTTGAAAAACCGTATCTGAACGAGACCAACTTTAAGAATGAAATAGATATAGAAAAGGATAATTACTATCATAAAACATTCTTCGACGGTATATTCACTGCCAATGAAACTAAGGTTGAATATTTCAATGTTGATAGAACGCAACGTTTAATCATCAATATAAAATCATATCCGAAAGATGATCTTTCACTCTACGGAGATATTATAAATAAGTTGATTGAAAATCAAAAATTACTATCGAAAAGTAATGAATTAGTAATTATTAATCAAAGAAATGAAACTGCAAATTCGATTGAACAAGATAGAATATTTAAAGGGAAAAATTTATTAGATTATCGAATAACGGAAAATGAGATTGTATTTTGTTTATCGGATAGGAACGATTCGAAAATGATCACTTTAGAATTCTATCCAAATCTAACAATGTGAAATAGGGAACGTAATTATAGAAAGCCTATTCTCATTATGTTATTTATTAATGTTCAAATACTTTCCTTTGATATATTTTTTTTTCAATAAAACTTATTATCATATTAATTGACAATTTGTAATTCAAATACATTTAATACTGCTATATAATAGCTTACAAACAAAAAATAAGATAATATTCTTGAATAGTATTATGGACACTGGAGAAAATTTAATTAATTTAAAAGAATCACATTCGATTTTAGCCTCAATTTAAGTATTGATATAGAAATTGTCTTAGATTTATTAAACTATTGTTAACTGAATAATCTTTTAATTCATATTTTGCAGATTTTGTTCAAGTTGGAATTTTGAGTTTTATTTCAAGAAGAAAATGAATAAATTGAATGAAAATACGTTGGAAGAAAATCAAGATTCTTACTCTAATATTTCACCTAAAAATCAAAAACTTCTCCTTAAAAATGAAATTAATATTTTGAAAGCGGAAGTACAAAGTTTTGACGCAACAATTGAACAGGAAATTGATAAAGTTGATTATCAAAGAGAAGAACAACAGAAAATTGTCAATAATTCAATCACTGAATTAATTACTAGTATTAAAAAGAAACGAGAATCTATTATGGAGCAAATTGATAACTTTTATACAGATAAGAAAGTTAATCTTGCTAAAGCATTAGAAGATATTAATCGTTTGGAGAAATTACAACAAAATTCAACAAATTTCATTAATCCAAAATCTTTACAAAAGCTTACGAAAGATTTTATCTATTCTACTAATAATCTATTGGAAAAAACTATTCATTTCGATCGAAAAGATCAATGTTTAAGTGGAGAAATTGGAAAGTTGATTAAACCACTTTACGAGATTCCAATTAAGGAGTTGTCAATTAAATTTGATAATTCACCAAAAAAGATTATCACATCAAGGAAAGGATTTATAGTTTTGGAAACTGATTATAGAATTATTGAATTGGAAAGTGGAAAACGTTTAATTTCAACAGCAAAGAAGATATTGGATATTTGTAGAACTTATGATAACAATTTAGCGTATCTTCATTTCGATAAAGATAGATTTATATGCACAATAGTGAATCTTGACATTCATGAATCTAGTGATACGATTTTACCAAAATGCAATATTGACTCTTCAACAGTCATGTTCGCAGTTTTTAAACATAGCATTATAATAGGAAGTCAGAAAGGAGAGAAAGTTTACTTTTACGATATAACTTCATCGAGAATGATTGATTTAGAAAATAAATCAGAGATATTCGATAACAAGTCGTTTACCAATGGTTTATGCGTTGGAGGTTCGTCTCAAATTGCTATCTTTAACTCTATTGATGGCTTTTACCATCAATTCAATATAAGAGAAAACGAATCGCATAACTATTCGTTATACGATTCCATTATACATAAACTCAACGAAGGTAGGGAAATATTTTGCACTAATCATAACATTTTCATAATTGATGAACAAACATGGACAGCAACCTTAATTGAACAAGATAAGTTAATTAAGGGATTCACTTTGAAAGAATGTAATATAACAGATATTGAGGTAAAATTGTGTTTAATCCATTTAAACGATCCCAAACATATTTGCATTCACTACTATCCTAATTCCCATATATAAAATTAATATATTTTAATCATGAAGTCATTTTTAAAGGCTAAGAACCTAATGTAAATAATATTTATTGGACACTGAACTTAATTATTGTGGAATACAATTTGTGCCCTAATTAAAAAAATAAAAAACCAATCTTTTGTGTTGTTATTTCGTAGCGATATTCGGGATATAAGAGGGACATTCCATGTGATATATATTTTTATTATAATAGGCTATCTATAATGGATAAACATATGACAGAAAATTTAGAAAATGAATGCAACAGCTTACCATCTTCAGATGAGAAAGAAGATTCTTTGGTTGTTTCATTGCAATCACTGCGTTCAACAGTTGAACATGAATTAAATGAAATTGATAAAAATCGAGAAATTGATAAGAAAAAAATGGATCAATTCATAATGAACCTAATTACTTTTATTCTTAAACAGAAAATGTCTATTACAAATGAGATTAATGAATTCTATGCCGAGAAGAAAGCAACTCTACAACAAGCAATATCTGATACAAAACTTTTGCACGAATTACAAATAAGTTCAACAAACGCTATAATTCAAAGGAATTTATTAAATTTAACTAAAGAATTCCTCTATTCGACGAAATTATTCTTTAAAAAGTATACAATTTTTGAAAAATCTCTACTAACTATTGATAAAAATATTGGAGATATCATTGAAACCGCTTACGAGAAACCTATTAAAGAACATTCAATAAGATTGAAAGAGCAACCTAGTAAGGTTATCCTTACTAATAAAGGTTTTATTGCACTTAATCGCTGTAATGAAATTATCAATTTAGAGACACAAATTTCGTTGGTTTCAGAGAATAGAGATATTCTAGATATATCTACAACTTCTGATGGTAATTTAGCTTATCTTAAACATTTAAACGATAGATTCTACTGCTATATTCACAATTTGGAAAATAACGAATCAAATGAAATATGCTTACCCATATTAGAACTGATACCATCAACAGTAATGTTTGCAGTTTTTAAAGGCTATGTTTTTATTAGCAGTCATAGTTCATCTGTAATATACCGTTTTGAGATATCGTCATCTATGCTAACATCTATTGAAACTCAAGGAACAATGCACTCTCACAAAGTCTTTATGGACGGTTGGTGCATGGCATCAGCTTTTAAAGCAAGATATTTTGATTTCAACGAACAGCTTCATTACGATTTTGATATAAAATACGTAAAGAAGAGTAAATTTTCTCTCTACGAAGATATAATACAAAAGATTAACAAAGGTATAAAGATTTTCACCGACGATGGATTCATTTATTTGATAAATTCCGAGTCGAAATTGGCAGATGCAATAGAAGAAGATAAAATATTCAATGGAAAAACACTTAGAGAATATAAAATAACAAATGAAGAATTAATATTCTGTTTATCAAATCGTGGTGATACGATAAAAGTTACAATTCAATATTATCCAATAATATAATGCTTTTCTCTTTACAATGATAATTGATAATCTTTTAGGAATGTTCAATTTGAACATAACAAACGGTATTATACTGTATATATTTTTATGTTTTTTTGAACAGCTTTATGTGTCTATTTTAAGTAAATAGTTTTAAAGATATAAATCTTAATTCGTCTCATATCTTTTGTTGTTAGATAAAAAAACAATTATATTCCACAGTAAGAGAGTTGAAAAGTTACAAATATATAGTGTGTACACTGTATATATATATATACATATATGGAAGAATGAATGACTACCCAGAACCACGAAATGAAAGCAGAATTAAACACTCCAATTTACCAACAAATACAAATACAGAAGATTCGTTCAGCTTCTTCACAGATGCATCAATTTCTTACGAAGTGGTCATACTAATGACAACTGTCCTTCTTAGTCCCGTGGCCATAAATGCAATCAACTTTACATCTTTCCATCACAAGAACCCAACGTCTCCTAAAACAACCTTTCCTGTTAATATCAATCACTCCGATCATTATAATTACAGAATGCCCATCTGTGAGACCAAAGTACAAGTCCTGGCCACAGGCACATCCTCAACTCATAAGATCGTTGCATTGATCCATATTGGAGCATCAATATCGCTTATAAAGCCGGCAATTCCTCCTACAAACCAGATCCTAATAAACAGTGTCAAACCAACTTATCGTACCCAAATAACGTGTTTCAACCAATTATATATCGTAAAGAGTGGAAATCATCTTTCCTCACCAAGACCATCACTATGATATATTGGCCTATGTAGTTGATTTCTTACCAGAGATAAAAGATCAACCAGCTATCTATATCAACCGGAACTATACTGAGAAGGCATTACCATCAACCAATCTCGATCTGCTTAGTGGTTAATGCACAGACCATCGCGGTCCTATACTAATGTAACATGTGACATACTCGTAAGTTACACTCAACCTTCTATTGATTATTAGACTTTCCCTCTACCCTTTAAATGCGATCCAGTGAAATTACAAAATAACAAATCAACGGTTAGAGGACGATACCAATCTATTCGCCCATATACATATGTAGTCGACGAGTACATCGCCTAAATTTGGCAGCGAGCCAAAATATCGTTACGCTTATATAATTGTAAAACCAACTGACTTCTACACCTTATCATTTCTTTGTGTATGTGTATTACTTATACTTACTGCTATATTACCAGTATAGACTTTAAAACTAAACGCGCTGTACTGATAAGTCAATAACGTTGCGACAACTTATGTCCTCAACCCGCTCAACGACTATAGTAATTATAAGTATGTAAAGGTATAACAATACTGAAATGACTAGGAAAAGACAAAATAAAATGGTCGCTAAATCCGCCAACTCTCCAAATCAACTGGAAACCACCATCCAACAGACCAACATGGTCGACTTAGCAACACTCGATGAGAAATTGGAGGAACAGAGAAGAATATTCGAAGAATCGAAAGCTCAAATTAGAGTTGCGATGGAAACAAAGTTGGAACAACTCTTTCAACTGCTCAAATCCATTAAGCTCAACTCTTTCAAAGAAAATCCGTTGAATTCTGGTGATGATCCAGAAGCGGAACATTTCCCAACGGTCGAAGAACAAGATGGTTGAAGTTCAAAAATTCGAAATACTTCGAAGCGTAACCAGGAAGTCGAAAACCATTTGATACAACTCAATCATAGAATCGAGAAACTAAGAAACAATGAACCTACTCCAACTGAAAAGTTTAACGGTACCAACTTTCTGATTTTCCGCGACGACATCATTGTCCCACTGTTGGAAGCCAATATAGATGATTTAGAAAAATGTCAGATTTTAAATAAATGGTCATCAGAGGAGACAATGTGCAACGAGTATCACAATATGGCATATAGTAGAGACAGTAAAGAAAACTTCTTAAATTTCGTCAAAGCTTAAGATTATGTTTACGGCGACATCAATCTATACCAAGGTAAAATAGTACAACAAATTTTGGACAAAACCGCTCCATTCCAACCTCAAAATGTCGCCGATTGGGTTGAATTTAGGATATTTCTTGCATTGTTGGATTTGCCAAAATATGAAGGACGCCCTCAATTTGAAAAGCTTAAACAGTTCTCAATGAGACTGCCCTTTGACGCTCGATTACAAATTATAATCTTAACTAATGAATATCTGGACGATTTTGGTTCACTTGTAGAAAAGATAGGTCACTATGTATCGAAGGTCATTGAAGGGATTGAAAAGGGAACGTATGTATGTCAAGATGACGAAACAAGCCTCGTGGCTTCCAACATGGCCAAACCCAATAGCACATTCGCGAGGCAGAGCCCCCCTTCCCGGATGATAGACCCTTGGCACACGTCGAACTGAAAAATAAGGCGAAGACTCAAGCTTCGAGCAAAGAATACAGATGTCTGTGTTATGAAAATCACGTATGTTTGGCCTATTGCCCGATTTACATCAATTTTGATCTGAAAGGAAGACAGAGGATGGTTCAAAGGTTCCACAGATGCCAGAACTGCCTACGAGGCGGGCATACCAGTGAAAAATGTCCGTCAAAATTCAATTGCAAAAAATGCAGCCAAGCTCATCACACGACGTTATATCATAAAGAGGCAATGATCCCGAAAACGACATCTGCCATCAACTATAATCAATTAAAGGAAAAGTAAAAAAGAATGACCGTATATGAGACAACAGTACAAATTCCAGCGTCTGGTAAATCAACAAATCACAGACCGCACCTTCGAGATCTACACTGGTCACAGTAATATAGAGAGAGACGTTAGAGATATAATCCCCTACCTACCAAAAGAGCCTCTCTCTTTTCCTCTTCCCCCGGCCAGTGTAGTCGATGAGTACATCGCCTAAATTTGTCAGCGAGCCAAATTATCGTTACGCTTATATAATTTTAAAACCAACTGACTTTTACCCGTTATCATTTCTTTGTGTACGTGTATTACTCATAATTACTGCTATTTACCAGTATAGACTTTAAAACTAGACGCTTTGAAACAATACAGTACTCGTCGACTACATATATATATATATATACTTATATATTAATATATACAACAACCTGTTTTTCATTTAATAGTTGCAGGAATTTAGGACAAAAACATCTCTAATTTACGAATTAGGTCTTATAAATCTATTTTTAATTGACAACCTAACTAAATTCAATTAGATAGTAGAGAGTACGTAAGAGTTGGAGGCAGAGATAGTCAGAGAGTGAGAAAGAGAGAGAGAGAGAGAGACACTGTTAAACACTGAGTAATTTAATCCCTATCAAAGTCGAACTTCATATAATCTTGTTATCGACAAACAATTATCAATGGATTTAAAGGTAAGAATATGTTAATTTTAATAAATTTCTCATAATCAACAATTTCTCTTCTTAAGTCTTTTGAAAAAATGATTCAACAACAATTTAAGAGATTGAAAATTAATCGTGAAAAACGAATTGAATCACTCGACAGATCGATTAAAAAGCACGTTGTAGCACTTTATCGTAAGAGAAATCGTTTTGTTTCCGAAATAGATGTAATTTATGAAAAGAACAAATCTGAATTGAAACAAACGAAAAATGTTATCAAAGATCTACTAGAGACGACGAAAAATATGGAGGATACCTATAGTCGTGACTCATTTAGATTGAATATTAAAGATTATCTTGAATCGTGTATAAATGAAATGCATAAAGCTGAGATTTATGATAAATATTCATTTTTAAGTGAATTAGATAAGGTAAAGATTGTTGAGCATACTTTTGAAAGACCAATTTCTGAATTATCGTTTCAACTCGTGGTAAAACCAAGAAAGATTATTGATACAAAGGTAGGATTTCTGGTGCTTTTAGGTAGATCGAGGGTATACGCGTTATTTTCCGAAGCACTTTTAGTGGAAGATGATAACGAAATTCTTGATATTTGCCCAACGTACAATAGAGATTTGGCATATATCCAATATATAAAAGGTGTATTTTATTATAAAGAAGTAGTTCTGGAAGGAGATTATATAAATGAAAGAATAAGACAAAGAAAAGGAATTCCTTTAGTGGAACGTGATAGTTGTCCTTCTATGGCGATATTTTGCGTTTTCAAAGATTCTATCTTATTAAAGAATGAGAATTCATTTGACGAATGTCTCTTCAAAAAATCCAACTATAGACCAATGAGCTATTTGAAAGATGATCGTAATGATCTATTTCAATATTCAAAGGATAATTATAAAACCTTTCCTCACGGTTTATGCAGGATACTTGGATCATTTATTGAGTATTATAGCTCCGAAGCGAAGTTTACCTACCTTATTAGAATTGTTCCTATTGTAAAGGAATATCCATCGGTATCTAACGAGATAATATCGAAATTAAACGAAGGATATGAAATTTTTTCGATACGAAATCAACATTTTCTTGTTCATTTTGGCAAAAAAGTTGGATTCTCTTTAGATAATGACGCTTATTTCAATGGTAAAATTTTGTTAGAGTATCGAATTGAAGGAGAGATGGTAATGTTTTGTTTAACTGACAAGGATAAATCGAAAAATATAACTATTGATCGTTATTTGAATTTAGCATAGACATATTTTTCAATCGGAAGCTTTCTACTTATCCTCCTCCTCTTCTACTTTATTAGTCATTACGAACTTATATCGAACCGTATACCACGCTTACATTTAGTAATTTGATTTTAATAAAATTATATTCTCATCACATGACCGTCATATATTCTATAAATAGTACACTATTACGATTCTTAAACGTTATTGAATTAAGAGAGTATCATATTTAGCTATTTTTGTTATTCCAAAAGTTTACAAAAATAGATTTTGTTTTTTAATTTCTAGTTAATTATCTAAATAAAAAAAAAATAAAGGACTTGGTTGAACTGTCTAAAAAGTTTTGTTGACAAATTTTTAAATGACTGGACACTGTAAATAATTACAATTGGAACAATATACGTTTATATATAGGTATAGAGTTTTAATTTCTCTTTACTCAAAGACTTTCAAGTAAAAGAATAAAAGGTATATTTAACAGTAAAAAGACTGCATTAATTAGTAATTTTATAGATAATTGATTCGTAAATATAATCATTCACATATTATATTATAAACTATTTTATTTAGCTACTTTTAAAAATTGATATATTGATTTATAAGTATTATATTTCATTTAGATGAGCGGTACCGCAGAAAATATACCTTCTGATGAATATTTCAATTTATCACCGGAAACAATAAAGATAAATAATCAAAATAGTAAAGAAATGAAAGTGTTCAATATAGAAAACGAGTCTTTACAAGATAGGCTAATATCATTTAATAAGATTATCGAAAAAGAGATCAACAACACTGACAATGAATGCGAAAAGCAAAAGAATATAATTGATAAAGCAGTTACTAAATATATAGCTTCACTCCATAAACAACAAGAAACAATTAAAGATGAAATTGAATTATTCTACGCTGATAAGAAATCAAATTTAAAACGAGCTTTATCAGACACACAACGCCTTGAAGATTTTAATAGAAATTCACAAAATCCAATAGTTCAAAGAAATTTAAAAAAGATGGCCAAAGAATTAATGTACGCAACTGAAAATATTATAAATAAAATGAAATATTTTGAATTAAAAGAAAATTATAAATACGAAAATAATATTGGAAAATTAAAGACGCCCATTTACGAAAAACCTATTAAAGAACATATAATATTATTAAATTCACAATTAAAGAAGGTTATTGCAACTAAAAAAGGATTTCTCGCATGGCAATCGAATAATAAAATTATTGAATTGAATTATGGCCATACTGTAGTTTCGGAGAAGAATGATATATTAGATATTTGTTCAACATTTGATAATCGATTATCATACATTGTTTATGTTGATTCAAAATTCTATTGTAAAACGTTAAACTTGGAAAATGATGAATGGATTATGAGAAGTTTCTCATATCCGTTTAATAATTTATCTTCAATTATGTTTGGAGTTTATAAGAAAAATATTATAATTAGTTCGGATAATGGTAAAACTCATTTCTATCATAGAACTAATCTCGAAGTATCAGAAATTGAGGATAAAACTTCAAAAAAGAAACCAATTAGTCATAAAGCATTTAAGAAAGGTTTATGTATTGATTTTGGAGATGAATTGGAATATTTTAGCGACTTTAATGCTGATAAAATATTCTTGAATATTAAAACTTCTACTATTCAAGATTTCTCCCTATACGATAATATAATTGATAAGCTAATTGAAGGTGAACAAATCTTCTGCAGTGAAAAAGATTTTGTACTATTTAACGTTAAATCTGGCGAAGGATACTTAATTGAACACGAGAAAATCTTCCCTGGCAAAAGATTACTTGAATATCAATTAACAAATTCTCATATTGTATTTTGTCTTTTGGATATAGAAAATCCAAAAATGATAACAATTCAGTATTATCCTGTATTGAAAGATGAGAATTTTTAATTAGACGCTCTATTCAATTCGTTTTTCCCTCTTTACATTCTATAACAAATCATTTGGTGTTTTTAAATAATAAATATTTTCATCGCATTTTCTTTCAACAGTTTGGCCAAAACTATATTGGAATTACCCCTATTATCGTCTTTAATAGAATAATTATAAATATCCTTAATTATTTAATATAATCCTAATTATAACTAAATATTAAAGATACTTTGAAAGTATATTAAGTATTAATATGTAATATAGAAAATATTGAAAACTACTTAATTAATTCGAAGTAGTAAAGAGACATTGAAATATATTAAAACGGTTTTCGATTGTGCATAACGAGGCTCATCCCCAATATCTCAAGGTAGGGACATCCTAAATTATTATTCATATATACTGTAGAAACTCTTTCTATTTGTCGGCTAGAATAGAAAAATGACAGAAGTCAAGATGGAAATTCCTGAAAACATTTTACAAGAATCTGAAGAAATTATAAATCATAGATAATGCAGGTTCATTTGGTGATCTTATTAAAGAAATGACTAATAGAATTGGCGATGAACAAGAAAGAATAAAACAAGAAAGAATACTTGACGAAACGGTTAATGAATTAATTGTGTCAATTAAAGAGCAAAAGGAGAATATCTTGGATGAAATGGATTTATTTTACTCTGAAAAAAAATTTTCTTTACAACAAGCGCTTTCCGATGTGAAACGGTTGCAAGATCTTCATGAAAATTCAACAAATCCAATCATTTGTCAAAATATGGAAAAAATGAAGAAAAACTTTATATATTCAACAAAGAATCTATTAAATAAGGTCGCTATCTATTCTATGTCAGAGTTTGCCCAAACCAAGAACATTGGCGGTATAATCAAACCAATTTTTGAAGTTCCATTTAAAGAAGAATTAATCGAATTATCTAAACCAATTACAAGGGTTATCGCTACAAAGATAGGATTTCTAGCACTGCAAAATGGTTGTGAGATTATTGAAGTAAAAACAAAAAAGTGTCTTATCTCTGAAAAAGATGAAATTCTCGATATATACTCAACATACGAAGATAATCTTGCGTATATTCAGTACAGAGAAGGTAGATTTTACTGCAAAGAAATCAATCTTGAATATAGACAGACAGAAGAAGTACGACTTCCAAAATGTAAGATTGATCCTTTAACTGTTATGTTTGGAGTTTTTAGAGATAATATCATCATTAGAAGTTGCAATTCGAAGGAAACATTTATTATTGAAAGAAAAACTTTATGCTGTGAAACATGGAGTAATAAACTTCATAAGATGAACCGCAACTTTACTTATAAAGTCTTCAACAATGGACTCTATTATATTTATAATTCTTCAGTTATTTGCTATGATTCTGATTTTAAGAGGAGCTATAAAAGAAAAGCTGTTAGTTGTTCGATAAATGGCCATTCGATGTACAGTAATATAATGAATAAGATATTGGAAGGATACAAGATTATCGGTCACGACGATAAGCTTATTCTATTTTCTAAAGAGTCGACTTATTATATTCAACAAGATTACATGTTCAAAAACAAATCATTAATAGATTATAAGGTGACAAGCGAAAATATTATATTCTGTTTAATGGATAGGGCTAATTCAAAAAAGTTGTATATTCAATCTTTTCCCCATCTTTACAAATAGACCTCATTTATCGTTTATGATTTACTTTAGCCAATAGAAATTAGTTGTTATTTCCCTGTTTCTTTTTTTTTTATAAAAAATACTTAGTTTTGCCTTAGTTAGCTATTTGTTTTTATATAGAATAAAAGTTTTTTGCTAATTGGGTAACTAATTAATTAATTAATTAATTAATTTATCGTTATATTTATGGACATCATATTAAATTAGAATGGAATTTTTTCCCGTCTTAAATTTGAAATAACGGTATCATCTTTTACTAAGAAGGTATGTTTTATTCGTATAAAACACTTAATTCCTTATTAAATAATGTTCATTTTATCAAATAGAAAACAGCTATATCAAGTTAACAATTTAGAATAAAGAAAGTAAATATGTTGGCAGTCAATAACACAACAAAATTAACAAATGATCAACGTAGTAAACAAACGAAAATCTCGTTGGAAAATCATATAAATCTTGAAGATAAACAGTTTGAAAGTGAAGACGAAACACTACAAAAGAAACTTATGTCTTTTGACGATACTATTGAAACGGAAATAGTAAAGATTAATGACGATTGTATAAAACAAAAGAAAGTACTTGACGACTTTGTAAAAGAGTTAATAAGTTCAATTCACAGGCAAAGGGGAAGGTTAGCCGATGAGATTGATGTATTTTTTGACGAAAAGAAATCAAATTTAAAGCAAGCTCTTACAGATACAATTCAATTAAAGGATTTCAAGAGAAATCTTTCAAATCCAGTCCTTTATCGAAATGTACAGAAAATGACTAAAGAATTAATATATACAACCGAAAATCTTTTTAATAAAACTGGTACTTTTACAGAAGATTGTAGCTTTAAAGCTAAAACTATTGGAACGCTTACTAGGCCTATATACGAGAAACCTATAAAACAATCTACAATGGAACTAAAATCAGAACCAATAAAAGTAATCTCTACAAAGGAAGGCTTTATAACATTACAAGATAATCGTCAAATCTATTATCTTAAAACTGGTAAAGGTATGATATGGAAGAAAGGATCAATATTAGATATAGCATCAACCTACGATAATCATCTATCTTATATAACTTATAATGATTCAAAATTCTATTGTAAAATCATTAATTTAGATAATTTCGTTGGTATTATAAAATGCCTTTTACAAAGAAAAGTTCTCAAATCTAAAGTTATGTTTGGAGTATTTAAACATAACATCATACTCACAACGGATGTTGGAAAGACTTACTATTTTAAGAAACCATCTTTAAAAGAAACAGTATCGAATGGTAGAAACGCTAAAGATGAACAATTAGCAGTTATTGCCCACAAAGCCTATATGGATGGTTTATGCGTCGAGTACGAAAACTATATAGAATACTTTTCTGATCATCAAATCGATTCAATAATTATAAATATTGAAAAATCTAATAAAGAAAACTATTCAATGTACGAGAACGTAATTAACAAGTTGAACGATGGTCATAGAATCCTACCTGATAATGAGAAAATTATTATATTTAACATTAAATTTCAAGAAGCTATATCAATTGAAAATGAAAAGATATTCCCCGGGAAAAGGTTATTGGAATATCAATTAACAGATGATGAAATAATATTCTGTCTATCGGATAATGAAAATCCTAAAAAGTTATATTTTCAACATTATCCCCGATTGGAAAATAGAAATTATTAATATTTACGTGACGTTTTTTTTCCATTCTGAATAAAATTTTTACCGAGTGAAAACAACGTAGAACTTTGTCTAGTAAAGGAAAGAGATTGAACGAATAAGATTATCTTTATCCATATTATAATATTTAACAAGTAAACTTTATTCGTTTAGTACTCAATAATATTTTAACAGATTTCAATGAAGGATCATGAGTAAAGTAACTACTAATTGACTGTTCTAATTAAAGGATATCACTAAGTATCAAAATAGATAGGACAAATTTAATTTATTCTTTTTTTTAATTGTGTAATTTTAACATCATTAATAATTAATATAATAAAAAATCATTATTACCTATTTAATAAATACTTGACTTATATATTTACATAATATACGATTATTATAATATCATTAATCAAAAGTAGTAGCATTCCGTTTTGGATAGACTATTGGTCTTCCAGAAATAGAAATGTATCTCATCAATTTTCGTATAATAACCTTTCAATGTACCAGATTCGTAGTTATTTTGTTGTAAATAGGCTTTTGCCTCCCTAATTCTTGGATCGATTAAAAAGACAAACTTATCATTCGTAACTAAAAGGCAACCTCTTTTTATTTCGTTAATTATATCTTTCCTAATTGAATATTTTCCATCCATAATTGTTGTTTCAACAATTCCATCTAAAAATAATTTACCGTTGACATTGCTCACTTTATAACAGACGAAATTAAGGCTTGTTTGTAAAACAAACAGAAAACCATCTCTAAAAATTGTTAATGGGCGAAAATTAGACGAATAGAAATTTCTTTTTATAGAAACTTGTTTCAAGTTAACATCGTGAACAATTAGATCGTCTTTAGCTAGAAAGCTTATGACGTCATTATCATTAGAAGATGCTAAATTTTGGCAAATATCATAATTACACTTTTCAACGTGTCCATCCCTTTTCCTCCAGCGAAAAATTTGAAAATTCTTATAATTATCATATTTTAGACCATAAAGAGTTTTATCTTTCGAAACATTTATATCAGTAATTCCAAGACCATCGAAAATAACCTAATTTATTAATTAATTATCATTTTAGGTCAATTATTAATTATATAACATGAATAATAATAAAACTATAAAAACACTTACCGGATATTTAACAATTATACTTGGAAATTCAATTTCTATGGTATTAGATACTTTTAATATATTCAAATTTGTCTTTAAATAACAACAATCGTTACTAGTTAAAATTTCAATAGGCCTAATTAGTTCAGTAAATTTTGAATAAACTGGTTTCTCCTCGTCAAATTCTTGAATTTTACCCAAAGATAAATTGCAATGATCCGGAAAGAATTCGGGTAGTTTATTACCATTTTTCTCGTAATCGTAAACAATTGAAAGAACAAGACTAGAATCATCATTACCCATTTTCCTACTAGATAGATTCATGTTCTTTTCGTAAAGGCCAATTCCTCTTTCGCATTCAGCCATCTTTTTATTATATAAACTATTTATCTCTTGAATAAGATAAATTTGCCTTTTAGCAATTAGAGCGTTTAATTGAAAAGCTCTTCTTCTTATCTTATCAATCTCTTGCGTTTTCTTCTCCATAATCCTCCTCTTTTCGCCAAAGATTAATTGTTGTAGGTTAACGCTACTCGACTTATCGATAATAATCTTTTTAAACGATTTCAATCCATTATGAGTCCATTTTAATTGTCCTTTACAAAGTGGACATGAAAAATTATCATTAACTTTTACTTGACTCCTTTCAACGTGATCCTTTAAACAAGCTGAACATAAAATACAAGATACCCTACAGGGTAACAGTCGGCAGTCATCTAAAAATGCCATATCTCGTCGACAACTAGGACAATCCATAATTTTTTTATATATACATATATTTATCGTTATTATAAAATATAAATACTCTAATAATAAAACTTGAACTGTTTACAATCTTCTTTTCAAGTGATTATTACTTATGTCCTGGCCAATTAATTTTTTTGTGTTAATTAAGAGTTGTGTTCTTTAAATAAAAAATACTACTCAGTCATTCTTTCTTTAGATGATTAACTAAATTTCAAGCTTAAATATATGTATAGATAATTATGTATTGCATCATTTATATATATATATATACTGTATATATAAACAGTAGACAATATATATATATATATATATACATATAGATATTTCATATGAAAACAATGTATTGTTTAAGTGAAGAAGTGAAGAGAAAGAAAGGGGTGAGGGAGAATTTCTTATCCAAAAACAAATAGAAGAGAGAATATATTGATTTTGATAATTAATTTGGAAACATTTTCACCAAATATTCCCATTTTGGGTAAAACGACTTTAAAATGCAGAAATTGAATTGATTTTCAGTGAAATAATAATCTCTTATTTCACCTTCTTTAAAGATTTTATCATGGGGAAATGCTGTAGCCACTTTCTTTTGATGATCAATTATGAAAATGTATTGATAATTTCTCATTAGTAGGCTACCATTTCTTATTGGATTAATTATATCGTCCAGTACTGACGTTTGTCGATCTATAATTTGAACTTGAACAATTTCACCTAACAGATCGTCTATAGCATTTAAACTGTAAAATTGAAGGTCTACTTCGTCTCTCAATACATAAATTAGACCGTCTCTCACTTTCTTGTCTTTACAATCTAGGACAGTCCAAAAGTACTCTGCCCTTTTAAAATTTTTCAGACGGTTGTCGAACAGTATCACGTGCTCATTTTGTACAAAAACTGTAGCAGTTGGTGCTGAATACCTGTTTAAAAGAAAGTTTGTCGCCATTTCTTTGAATATTTTCTCTTCATCATCCCATTCATAAAAAATCGGAAAATTGTATGGTTTGCATTTTGTATTCAAAGCATAAAGAATATTATTTTCCCCTTTATCAACAGATACAAAATTCGTTGTTTCGTGTCTGTCGTATTGTCCATCTCTTATTTTGTAAAGTGCTGTATTAGTTAATACTTGAAAGCAACCTTCACCTCCGAATAGAGTATGACTATCGCAAATATCGAATGAATATTCATAAGCTGATTGATTGTTTGTGATTAATACCGTTTTACAAGGACCTTCCTTAGCCGTAGTGAATTCTACTTTCGTTTCATTTCTTACTGTATTGTAAAAGTCGATAATGTATTGATTTTTCAAAGTGTTATACTCCTTCCTCAAAAGCTCGTTTTTTGACTGTTGAAATATGTTTTCAACACTTTCGTATCTCAAACGTAAACTTTCCAAATCCTTAAGTATCTTACCGTAAAAGTCTTGCAATTCTTTTCGTGAATGTTCACTATTCTCCTCTTTACATTCACAATTAATATTTTCAAATTTCTTTATCGATTCCCCAAGAATTAATTGATATTTTTTAATCTCTTCATTAATTTGTTGATTAAAACTTTTATGTTTTAATGTAGTTTCTAAATTCTCTTTAAATTCAAGAAATTTCTTACAAG